TAAATAAATGCACTGATTTATACAACTTGTGAAAACCTTCCAATGGTTATAAGTAATACTGCCTATAATTGACGTTGCTGTTGTCAGCACTGTCTCACATACAACAATTCAAAGGTAAAATTTTTGCCCTTAAAGCCACAAAATATACAGAGCTTTTATATTTGTTTGTTATTAAATATCTTGTTTGCCAAAAGTCCTGCAAACTAAAATACACCCTGGCAGTTTGAATAACCAGCGCGATAATTATTTTGATATAAAAGGGTAAGAAACATTTTAGTATGAAAATTAATAACACCAGTAAAAGGAGGAACCTATTGTATAAATAGACGTATTAACAAAAAGTAAGACTTTAACCTTGCATAAGAGAAAGAAAAAGTTTAGTACAACTTATTAAAGATTTGAAAATAATTACCATATTTTCCCAGCTCTAGATAAATATATTACTCCAATTAACTAGTCATCTTCAATATACAATATATAACTCACAAAACTGGGAATGTTACAATACCAAAACCTTTCATAGCACTAGTTACCAGTTACCAGAACTGCAAGCAATCTTTAGCTACATATTAGTTTAATACTTAGAGTATAGAAATAGATATGGCTAAGTTGTGTAAAACAATAGTGCAATCAAACATTAAGGGCCCCAAGATATAGTCTTTTTCCTTGTTAGCTTGTATATCTAACTGCATTATCCTACTTTAATAGCATTATCAACTGAGTATGAAACCCCTTTATTTTAATGAATTTTAAAAGTAACTCTGTTCTGTTAAATTTGGTTAATTTACTCTTGAAATGCAGTTACTATGAAATACCCAGACTATAAATTCCTAAACAGTGAATAACTTGTTGCTAAAATGAAATATTTTATGTGTAGCTTTAAAAAGTTTTAAGTAGTGGTTTTGTTTTTATTTTTCCAACTAAAACTTGGAAGTGCATAAGAAATTAGGAGAGTATATAAATAATGTAAATAGAATACTTAGTTACATAAAGGGAATTGTTAACTTACATACTGTAATATGGAGTTTATCTTAAACATTGTTACTGAGTTAATGCAGTCCCAGTTATTGTTAAACTTCTTTTCCTGAAATTGACAGAATTATACAAATAGGTACAGTCCAGCTGTCTTTAATCTCTCTTCTCTATAATGATAAACCTTTGTACTTCTTTTCTTCTGATATAAATATCTCTAAACAAAACTTGGAAAAATGAGAAAACAGTAATTAATAAAATTTAGGCTTTGCTTATTGTAGAAGCCAATAATCATCACCTTTTTAAAGTTTGGTTGCTTCCTTAGGGAGGCACCCTATTACTGATATGACATGGAGACTGTTATACAAAGGTCAGTCATGGGATGTCTCCTTGGCAACAGACAAGACATAGGCCTCATGGCACCTGGAGTGGAGCAGTGAGAGAAGTGTGGCAGCCACGTTATAGGAGCCACCAGGGAGGGTGAATCCAGTAGCTAATGGTTCCTACTGCAGGAATTTCTACGTCTCACTTTCCTCTTTCTGTCCTGGGGGAGAACTTGATGTTTTAAAACTGCCACTTGTATTATCCAACTCTAAATTCATTGTCTATCCAACTTCCATCTGAAAAAATGTAAAATTAGTTCATTGAGGTGGTGATGGTGGGAAGGATCCATGGCATCAAGGTGAAAGATGTATTGTTCTCATGGTTTAATTAAAAGATTCAAATCCTAACAACGTGAAAGTTCACTACGTTGTTAGCCCAGGTGAATATAGTAGACTATTTACTTTAGAAGCATTGTATGGAGGGAGCTCCTATAATTGCTAAGTCATAACTTGTATTCCTGTCAAAAATAACCCATAGAGTCTAAAATAGTGCCATCATTATTTATAAAAAATTAGTTAAGAATCTCTAGGCAGTAGATGTATTCTGACATATTATTATACATTCTGTCATGTATATCTAAAAAAAAAAAAAAAACAAATAAAAAATAAAAAAAGTAATGACCAAAGACACACACACAAAAAGAATCTCTAGGCAGTTATGTTTTGTTAAGTTTTATGTGAATTATTAAGTGAAGGATTCCTGACAATAAGTCATTGGGAAAGATTTTATTTTAGAATTAAATAATTTGCATTTGGGGGCCGAGAATATATTATTTTCAGGCACCATTTTAAGAAATTATTAGCCATGTGAAAATCAAGATAAGTTAGCGTAAGAAAAACAGATCCAAATCTAGCAAGACATGCCTATTTTGAGGGAATAAATGACACATTTGTTTTACTTCTAATCATTTTGATCCTTTTTTTTTTTTTGCATGCCTAATGATTCATTTAATGTGTGTGCTGCTATGTGTCTTCAAGCATGCACTATGGCAACAGGGTAATTTAATGATAAGAGAAAATGAAAATGTACAAGTTCAAGGACAGTGATCAGTGATCTTTACTTATCTCAGTACATATTCTTCTGAAATGTCCCTTGTGACTTGTCATGAATAAACAAACACGCCACAGGGGCAACAAACTAAGCAGATATGGATTGCTACTGGCTTACAGTACAGTGAGGGGCTGGAGAAAGTTCAGCTGTGCTGCTTAGCCAATTTCCTATGCTCCACCTTAGTTACCCAGATAAACCCATTAGGTAGGAAGACCCCATCTAGAACAGGGTTAAGAATAAGGATTGAGAAGAAAACTCTGCTATGGTGGTGAGAGAAAAGAGGTCATTTTGCATAGGGCAACTGACTGGCAAAGGATGGTGGGAAGGCAGTGAGACTTTGAGCAGCCATTACTATGTTAGGCATGGGAAAATGCAAAGCCAGAAAGTAGGAAAGAAACTGAGAAAGGGAGGTGGAGAGACAATGAATGGGGAATACTGAGAAGTCTGGAATTTTACTTAGGACTGACCCTGTCCCTTTCCTTTTTGAAAAGCAATTTTCCTCAGGGAAAGTAAAAGTCAGAGAAAGTAGATTTGGGCTGTGATTCTCCCACCTACGCCCTAATTATCCAGGCGTGGGAGAACCTATGAGGAGGAGCAGTGACAGCTACAGCTGCAATCAGTGCACGGGTGAGCCTCTCAACGTAAGCGTGTGCATGGATCTAAGCAGAGAAGCCATCTGCACTCCTCAGGCTGTGATCCCAGGCTGTGATCCCATGCCAGGGAGAAGCAATTCCCACTTGATGGTTTTTAAACCCCAACTAGGATAAGAAGATGGTTTCTCTGTGATGTGACAGGAGGCTCTGACGGTGCCATGCTGGTGACAGGTGTCAGTGAAGTCATCTGAGTCCTGCATAGACATATGCAGACAAGCAGACTAACCTTACAGGGAAAATAGCTACCATTTAACAACAACAAAAAAAAAAATAAAAAATCCAAATTGTCATTCTAAAGGATTTCCCTCATCCAAGAGCCATTTGCAGGAAAATTCTAGTTAATTAAAGATTCTAGTAACTGAGATTTTAAAGAAATTAAAAGATGTTACCTAAGCGAAATGGCCAAACAACAAGAAAAATTTCAATCCTTTACATCATACTCAAATTCAGAACATGTAATAGCTTATAAATCTTTTCTATTGGCAAAGAGGTATTCATTTTTTGGAGAGGGGATCAATAAAGATTTTTATATTTTATATTAGCACTGTCTTAATACTAGAGTTCCTCTCACCCCTCCTTTCTTGAGACCTGGACCAGGATCAGGGTCTCAAGAGAGTTCTGGGATCTGGCACCTGGTATTTTAGTTTCAAAGGGAGGAAGCACATGGAGCAGGGATAACATATGGGGGGGGGGGGGAATACAAAGAAGACTGGAAAAGGAGACCCCTGGCTTCACAGGAGTGGATAAAATTAAAATTTAACCACCCCTCTGAACTACTTGACACAAATTCCCTTTGGAAAATTTCCATTTATCCACAACTTAGGTAAAAAGTCAGACATGGAACCCATTGGGTTTATTTATTTATTTGCAGTGATGGGGATTGAGCCTGTAGCCTGACACATGCTAGGCAAGTAAGTGTTCTACCACTGAGTTATGTTCCCAGCCCTCCCATTTTTTTTTATTTCTAAGATATCCAAATTTTGTGACTTTACTACCAGTTAAATACCCAAGTTATAAATAAGTACAAACTATCACATAATTAAGTTCCTTTGAGATAAATTATATGTCTGTCAATAGTTCACTTTAAATGCTCCTCGATCATTATTTCTCTTAAAACACTGGGCAATATTGTCTAGAAAATATCAATGATACTATGTCTCAAGATAATATGCATATGTGTGTAGGTGTATATACACAAATATGTGTATATGTACACTAGGGTGTATGTATAGCTATTGAGCACCTCCCAGGTTACTTTATGAAAACTGTCACACTGGGTCAGTACCCTGTTTATTTTTCTTACATAGAATATTAAAAATAGTATAATTGATTTCTTGGCATTATAATGGCTAAAGAAAGTTTATTTAAGAATATTTTTGTGGCTTCTTGATATGTATGCCTTTGGCTTTCAAATATTTGATAACTGTAATGTTGACTTCTAATGAGCAACTCTAATGTATAGTGGTTTAGAAAAAGGGAAAGAATATCAACCTGATAGATTATATGAATTATGTGAAATAATAATAATTATTATTATTAATAAGAAGAATAAAGCCCTTAAGAAAAAATTTGAGTTTCTTCTGTTGGGAAGTTCATGTCATAAGTCACTGTAACTAGTGGGTGAGTCTGAGTGATCAAACAGTATAAAAATTTCAGTTGAGACCTTGCAGAATTCCTAGATGTCAACAGTCTGCTATAAATTCAAACAAAATATTAGATGATTATTAAAATGAAATGAAAAAATAGGAACAAAATGTGGAAATTTTGCTTTGGAAAGTTGTAATAAGTTCTGTCAGATAACAGCATGTAAGTTTATAAAAATATCCAAACAATTTTCTTAATGTGCATATCTATGGTTTATGTATGATACGTTGAAATAAAATTGACTTGCATAAGATGTATATCATTTGTTGATTATGGCACAGACACATGTTCACAAAATCTTAGGTATAGAATATTTATATAAAATTCCACGTTATAGAACAGAAAATTTCAGTCCCTTAACCAATAAAAAGGTACTTGGGTAGTCATAAATCAAATTCCACTAAAACTGAGATTAAGGCTACCAAAGTGTTACAATATGACATGCAAGAAAAAGAAAGACAATCCAGGCAGGAACTCCGTGCATTAAGATCTGCATTATTTGTAGTATTTGATAGGTTGGTTTAACCATATTCTTTGACCAGTGAATGCTTTGAACCTATGGTAATACCAATCTAACATTCAAAACACAACTTAATGTATATCTTTGTCTCCTAACCAATGATTTGAAGAAAGAAGCCAATTCCTCCAACAATGAAACCCAAGAAGTTTTAGCCACACACCTTTATGTGATTGCACAGTAAGAACCCTCTATCAGACCAGATCTAAGGAAAGTAAGTGAGTAGCAATTCCACTTTTAGACAATGTAGCTATCTCGGATGCCTCCTACTTTTTTCCAACTATGAGCATATTTGAACATATCAGGTTTGCACAATAAGAAAATGGCTTAATGGAATGTATTTTTGGCACAAAAATATTTTCTAAAACCTCAAATCAAAAATTTCACCCATAATAAAATATCAAGCCATAGAGGTGCTTCAGTGGTGCTTACTTATCTATGCAGAAAACTACAAGAACAGCCAATTGCTTCCAAGAACTTTGTATTGAGTAGCAATTACTTCTCTTCCAAGGAATAGCACCAATATTACACCTCAGACTGGGAAGTGATCCTTCCAAGCTCTTTAATTCCCTGCAGAATTCGCTTCACATGGCCCACTTTCGGTATCCCCAGGTCCTAAAAAAAAAAAAAAAGAAGAAAAGAAAAGAAAGGAAAAAGGTAGAAAGAAAGAGTCAAGAAAGGATGAAAGAAGACAGAGTTTATTGATAAAACTGTGGATAAAATTTTTAACCAGCAAGTAACATAATTAGCATTCAGTTCATCTATGTCAGTTTATATTCAATGATATAGGAAGTGATAGTTAGAAAAATAAGTTAATGAAACAAAAATAACAATGAAAAATGATCAATCAGTAAAAAAAAAAAAAAAAAATCACATCCCATACAAACTCCTCTGAATTGCATACAAATTATATACAAGGGGGCAGTTCTTTAAGTGTCAAAATGATCATAGTTTTTCTTTCTTCCCTGCCTCCCAAACCTCTGTTTTTAAGACAGGCCCTTTTGGGATCTCTGGGGCGAATGAGGTAGGACACCAGAGCATCCACAATTAGTTCTAAGACAACTACACATTTCTTGTGCAACTTTTTTTTTTGAGCTGGGGTCTTGCTATGTTGCCCAGGCTAATGTTAAACTCCCAAGTTCAAGCCACCCTCCCACCTCAGCCTCCCAAGTACTCCAGGTGTGTACCACCACACCCAGCTCTTTCCAGTGAGGCCTAATCCTAGAGGAAGACAATAGTACCTGCTACCTATTTGGAATGCATTTGCAGTTGCATGGAGAGTCTTTGATTTGCATAGAATATCTAATTTAAATATTCTTTATTTTTTGTAATGTATATATGTGTAAAAATTACTTAAATATAAGTATCTGTTGGTTGATGCTTTCCCTCAAAATACTAATAGTTTTGTATCTTGGAATTATTATTCTCCTTTCTTAAAGGACTGCCTTTCTATAAGTGCCAAGAATTGAATATTCATCTTTCAAGAATGAAGATGACTGATGGGTGCGTAGTAGGCACATGGCAAATGCTTATTGCAGGAGAAACATCCTAGAGACCCATAATATCTAGGATCCACAAAACTACAAGAGTTAAGGCCTCTAAACCCTACAGTTTCTGTAAGTGTAACATATAATCAGTTTGCTAATGTGTGAGGTCAAACAACCTCTTCACAAAATAGTGTGAGATGTCTGAAAATTAGTAAAAAGATGACTTACAAAGCAACTAAAAAACGGGATTACAAGGTACCACACATTGCTTGTCAGAAAAGGTGATTTCAAATACCAACCCTGTTCTGAAACTTAAGAGCATTATTTTTAAACGTTTAAATGGAGTAGATCAAACGTGTTTAAGTCTACACATGTACACATGCTCTCTCCCTACACTTGATGAGCTTTTTGAGCTCCATTGCTGCAAAGCTACTGGTGATTCTGATCCTTCTGGAAAACATTCTTTCTAAAGGTAGTGCTATTTTTGAGCTTGAGATAATTAAAAGGTGACATTTTTATCATATTTAATTGACCCAGAAAAAAATTTTTCATATGATATTAGGACATCCAAAAATTAGTCATAAGGTGACTATACATGTTCTGAGTATAAGATAAAGATCAGACTTAAAGCATGGCCATATCCTAGAGGAAGATACCAGTGTCTGTTATCTAGATTTAGAATGTAAGTGCATTTACAGTCTTATTTAGGTTTTTTTATTTGAATAGAATATTTAAGTATGCTTTATACTTGTGATAATGCAGATATCTACTTACAAAATATATTTAAATATTAATTAAATATTTTATTTTAGGCCATATACACACTGTATTCTCCAGAATAAAAACTTCTTTGTAATGAGGTAGACCGCTCTCAGAGTTAATCTTTTGGTATAATGAGATCAATGTTTTCCATAATGTAACATAGAATGGCATAACCTTCTTAGCTATATTTTATTTCAGTTGGAATTCAGTACTTTAATGTCTCCTAGAAGCTAAACTGTGATAAAGTTATGTTGTTACACTTCTTGTATTTTTTTATTTTTTTATATCACATATCATATATTGTTTGTCACATATTATTGTATGCTTTTTAAAAAATATTTGTTTTAGTTGTAATTGGACACAATACTTTTGTTTTATTCATTCATTTTTATGTGGTGCTGAGGATCAAACCCAGAGCATCATACAAGCTAGGCGAATGCTCTACCGCTGAGCCACAAACTCAGCCCTTATTTTTTTATACTTATTTTTATACTTATATTTTTATACTTATTTTTATCATATTCTTTACTATTGGCTTTTTCATTCTTTGGATTAATAGTCCTAGTTTTGGAAAGCATATGTTTTCAGTTATCCTACATATACACAATTTACCAAGCAAAAAAATAAACAAAATTCCCTCTACCATTTTCTCTGACATCCCCCACTTTCTCCTACTGTGTTCCAGCAGGGGAAATATTACAGCCAGTTTGCTTCTTCGTCTGTTAAAGCATTTTAGACATGTATTCTCTTTCCTAGCTTTCTTTTAATTATTTATTTATTCCTTATTATTCTTTACTTTTATATATTTTTTATTTTTTTGCAGTGCTAAGGAGAGAACCTAGGGCCTTGTGCATGCTAAGCAAGCAGGCTCCACTGAGCTACATCCCTGCCGCTTTTCCCAACTTTAGATGGTCATACTGCCATCTCTAGTTGTTTTTGTTGATAAAGAAGTAACATTTAAGCCAGCCTCTCAGTAGGAGTTAGCCAAGTGGAGCGAAGGGGAGAAGCACAGCAAAAGAGGGTATCCCTAAGGTAAGAAGGCATGTTGCATTTTTAAGGCAGTGAGGGGTTAGAGACTCTACAGGAGGTCATGTAAGTAGGAAGAATCTCAAAGGCCTCCATAACCATGTGAGTCTTTATTCTCATAGCAATGGAAAGTCACTGAAAGGTTTTAAACAGAGAACTCAATATACTAGATTGATGATATTAAAATATCACTCTGGTTGCAATGTGGATAATGGACTGGGGAGACAAAGTAGCAGTAAAAAAGCAAGTTAGGAAGCTACTGACTTTTCACAAACAAGATGTGACAGTAGTGTGGAGCAGGATTATAAAAGATTAGAGTAACGAATGCAGACTAGGATTAATGTGATGTGGTGAGAGGCTTGATAGGTTGTGAGGCGTGGATAAGGAAGAGAAAGGTGTTAACTTGGGACTCTGGATTTCTTGGCCTTTAGCACTTGGAGAGCCTGAGGCTTGATTTACTAAAATGCTCAACACTGACAAAGGGGCTCAATAGGAGTGGGATAGGAGATCAAGAGCCTGGTTTGGATGTGTCAAAATTATGTCCCTGTGTGATACTCAAGTATCAAGTGGACAGTTGGTGACATAATCCTGACGTTCACAAATGACATCAGGCAGGGATAGATATAACTTGTGTACCATTGATAAAATCACAAGTAGCATTTGAAGGAACGGGGATGGATGAGATAACCCAAGGGGCAGGTAATCCTTCACCAACATTGAGAGGCTGTTCTGTGCTCTGACAGCCACAACCATAGAATGTCAGGGGAGACTTCTCTAGCTTCATGGTTTTGTGCTACAGAAGGCTCTTTCTGTAAAAAAAAAAAAAAAATGTCCTTTCACCACCCCCCTACACCCTGTTTCACAACCAAAAGAGTTAAAAAGGCCAGTGTCAATACAAATTTCTAAAAAGTTTTCAGGGAGAAAATATAATTTGCATTAAAAATGAAAAACAAACAACATGAAAAGCTAAAGAGAAAGTTTACTAAAATAATTCTTAAACCATCTCTTTTCTACTCTTATTTTATTTTTTTCCTCAAACAGGTCCTATCACCCAAGTTTTCCTCAGTGTACATATGAGATTTGTTTTGTCATTCTGTAAATATGTGCTTCATTCAGTATGTGCATGTATGTTTCTCTGTGTTTTTGTGCCTGTATTTGTATAACATCTATGCATTTATATAGCACACAGCACACGCACATAGACCTATTTAAATATGTATTTTTTATATATACACAGAGGGTTTTCTTTGAATGTATGCTTACTTATGGTCAATGAGATGCAGGCCTCTAGAGGACAGATATCACTTAGAGAAACTGCACAATACAGTAATACATTGAATAGCTACATTATAAGTACTGTAGCCTGCCCAGGGTAGCAGAAGCTATATGAATGTACTGAAAAGATCCCCTACGTTTATTATTTTTGTGCACTCACTCATTTCAAGTTTTGAAGTCAATCTTGGCTTCAACTCTACCATTGTATACTTTGTTCTGTTCCAGGATTAGATCTCTCAATCAAGTTAATTACCTATTATTTTATTATTATTCCAGCTAAAGATTTTTGGGTATAAATGGTATTCACCTTTTGATGTGCTAAACCGTCTGACTACTCAATAAAGACCTATATTTTATACCACCATTATCTCTTCAAAGATTTCTGCTGACTTAAACAGACAAAGCACAATAGCTTGTGGATGTGTTAGGAATTTACTGCCATAATTCTAGACATTGTAAAAATTGGTCTACGATAAAGGGATTGTTCCAACAATGTTACTTATTATAGTTTTTAAATGGCAGCATAGGGCAAGAAAATTTAACATGATAAAAATTTCACTCTTAGCAGACAAAACAGGCTACTTGGACGGTTTCTACTGTTGAGTTTCAACCCAAAGAAGAAAAGGGAATTGCTGCAGATAGTTGATAAATGATTTTCCTTCCCTGTCCCAAATAACAAATACACTCTGAACTGCTTTCTAGCATAGCTATATGTAATTTTTGCTTCAAGGGAGTTTGAATTAATTGGTCTAGTTGATGATGCAACCTATGAAAGGCCAATTTAGAATCAAACAAAATCACAGAACTCTAAGTAGCAATTGCTATAAGTCTCTCATAATATCCCACATAATAGAAAGGCTTTGTCTTTAGTTGTTAAGCTTATATTAGATTTTTTTTGTTTTTTCCCAGCAACAATTACCCACTTCCATGCTGATCCAGTCCAATGAGCTGATGGAAACATGACCCATTTGGAGATATTAGCACAGAAAGTCACAAAAGTAGATGCAGAGAAAAATAACTAAGCTCATGCAGTGTGTTAGCTATAATACAGAATGATTTTGACAAGAAAATATTGCTGACACGTTCTTGTTTAGAAAGCACACAAGGACCTCAGACCATAGGACAGGGAATATTAGATTACTGCACATTTGCATAACACAAGCCAAGCTGAAAGCACATAACAGAAGAAGCACAGGAGAAAGAATTCTGTTTTGCAAGAAAAAATTTCAAGAGCAGAAGAATAGCACAAAGGAAATACCTTAAGATCTCGCCTTTCCAGATGCAAAAGTTCAGCCCCTCTGATGTCATGACGGATGAAGATTTCTTTGTACTCTCCCAAATTGAGCAGATCCAGCCAAGCAGCAACTTCCTCAGTGCCCCATTTCTGAACTACCAAAGTTAAGAGCAAAACCCCCTTAATTTCTACATGCTCAATGCATTACAAAGCAAAGGTTGGCCAAAGGAGATGCAAAACAGAGTGCAGCAGCAGTGCTAGCAAAGAAAAGGTCAAAGGTGTTGTTCAACAGAACTATAGTTCCATTTGTTTCCCATGCAGGTTACAGACTATCAATCAACACAAGGGTCTGACTATACAGACACTGGCTATCGTGCAGCACCATGCCTTCAGCTTTTGTTCAATTTCCTCATTAAAACTAACCACGCCACACAACATACAGAAAATTTTATTTCGAATCATTAGGATTAGTGGTGCAAGTCTGAATAAGCCCTGATAATTTCCTTAAGACAGTGGATGAAAACGGTTTTAGTTAGAAATGAGCTACAAATGCTAATTAGAATTTAAAATGTGTTATGGGGTACTCAATTTTACACTTTCATGTTTAAGGTCTTGCTGACTTCAAGTGTTGCCTTTATTGATTCTACTGCTATTGATAATTATGGCAATAAATGTGCTGTTAAATCAACTTCATGTCGTTTAAAAACTGTCAGTACTATTCTCTAAGATTAGTTGATCATGTTATTTTTCAGTATGTATAATCATTCTTGTACATTTTATTCAACATGGATTAGCTTAATAAAAGCCTACTTATTTGCTGTATTTTGTTTTTAAATGCCCTTCCGTAGCTGCTCTATGAATATCATAAGTAGGATTTTATATCATTATTTACAAATGAGATAGCTAACTCAGAAAAATTTATAAAATTCTTATAAGCTAAGGACTTATGAAAAAGATTTGCTCTCATGTGTACAGAACTTGAAGGTGCTTCAGACTAGAATAGCAGTAAGTTTCATCTTTAGAGAAGATGGAGAAGAAGCTAGAAAAACAGCAGCATAGAGAGGTTTAATTTTGCTTGAGAATGCAGATAGCACAGCTGATGGTCATTATCAACGGGTTAACATGATGTCCTTAAAACAGGAGAAAAGAAGATATAACTTTAGGTGGAAAAATATATTTAGCAACTTTATTTAGGAGTCAATGAAAGTTTCTGTGTTTCATTTATCACAGTGATCTCAATTTTGGGCTCTGAAGAAGAAAAACAAGTTACACACTGATAACTTGAGTTGCTGTTGAGAAAGATAAAGTCCCTTCTGGACAGACACAATGATATACACCAAACAGAGAAGCAAGCTAGCAGCCATTCATTTCCTTCTAAGCTTCATAACTACTTAGACATATTCTAGGTATGATGTGATTTTTATGGTAAAATTCACTATATCAACAATTTTAAAGTATACATTTCAATGATGTTTAGTACATTCATGACGGCAATGCTCATCACTATCTGGCTCTCAACATTTTCAACACTTCAATGACATTAATGTGTTATTTTTTTTCCCATCATGTGGACCACCTACCAGGCTGAGTACTTGTCTTCTGCTTTTGAACTTTTTCCTTTTTAAACTTTGGCACTATACGAAATACTGTGCTTCTGTTGTTCCTTTTGGTGCAATCCATTGGAGGCTCCTGTTCAAATAGAGCAAAAAGGAATTGCTGTAGGATATTAAGAGAAGAAAAGTCCACTTTTAACAGAGAGAATATAGGAATAGGTTATCAATACTACATATTGTAGAACAGTAGTGATTTCTTCAAAAAAGTTCATGGCATAATGTATTTATGAAAATCTACCAATTCCCATATAATACTTGTGTTCACAAAAATACCTTTTCTTCCTTACTTAAGAACAGTACATTTGAGAATAGTGTTGGAAATCTATTTTCCCCTACATATCTTTTTCAAAGATAAGCTCGGATTCTATTGTCATATGGTCTATAATCATAAAGAAACAGACTGAATTTTACATACCTCCTCTTCATTGGGGTGTAAGATGTAATAAAGCCAGGGGATCTCTGTTAATTTCTGTAACTCCACCTCCACAGAATGTAAGGCACTAGCCACCCGTTCTTCATGTGGAGATTCCAACTGCTATTTACCAGCAGATTAAAAAGAAAACAAAACAGTACTCAGCAACCAACTTAAAAAGAACAACTAATTTATTTTGAAAGTGAACATCCTCATTTATTATGCTAATTTTTAAATGAGAGAATTTTTTAAAAAGAACAATTCTTTATATTTTCATTTAAAAATATCTGGATAGATTTATGCTAATTCTTAATTCCCAGAGATGATACATGTAGCTAACCTGACTTTAATAATATCACAGAGAAAGTACTGCTTTTAGTGTTTCTAAGTAAACCTTTCCCTCCCTCTGTTCCTCCTTCCTTCCTCCTTCCTCCATTCCAAGCATCTATCTACCCATTCTTAATGCTTATACTAGTGATCTGTTTCATTATTCTACTGATTTGTGCCACAAATTTTTCTGATTAATATAGATCGTCCTATGAATAAATAATATTTTTAACTAGTCATAAACTTATCATAAAAAGAAATGTATAAAAAATCTGCTCGAAAACTAAAAGAATGAGTTTAAGAGAAGAAAATAAATCTAAGAAAAATGTGTGATGAAAAGCTGTTGTAAAAATCAGGGCAAAACCAAAAAGCTAAGTGGTTATTAGTCTAGAATAGGGTTTGGATACATTTAGAGACTTTAACTGGTCACCTGTTATTCACCTTTAACCCATTCATAGCAGTTAGTGAAATGCATGTATGTAAATGACTAAAGATGAAGTAAACACTGCTATGCACAGAACAGGAGGGAAGCTGATTGGGTTCTAGTCCTGGCCTTGTGACTAATGAACTGTGCAACCAAGGGAGGGGTAATTGCTTTCAGGAGCCTTAGTTTTCTCTTTCAGAAATAGAACAAAAGGACATTATTTCTGAGGTCTCTTTTAGCTAACCAGTACTTTCAGAAATTACTTTAAAATTGTAGAGAACCTATATACATGCTCATATACTTTTAGAATTGAAAGTTCAGAGAGAATATTGCTATTATTTATTGTGAACATTCTTTTTTTGTTGTTTTCCCCCTAGGTTTTTAAAGGTATCTACCTTTTCTAGTCATTCATAAAAATATGGAGATTCTCTACCCTAATGTATAACATTTAGCACTTTCATTTTAGTTTAAGGATATGTTTTATAAAATTGATTAAATGGCTAGTAAATATTCTTTCTAAAAGTAAAATAAAGAATAAACCTTAGTTATTTAAAATATGATCGAATATTTATTATGATTTCACTATTGTTAAGGGTGTTGGCAAAATTAACTACAATACATTTTAAATCAAACATTTATATTTGACAATGACAGAAAATGAAATGTGTGTGTGCAAGTGTGTGTGTGTGTGTGGGGGTGGGGGTGGGGGGTGTGTTTCCATTTTCACATAATACAATTGATAGATAATTACAAAGTAGCACAAAGAGGGTACTTTTGGTATTGAGGACAAAGTCATGCTTCTAGTTCTTGTCAGAAATTATCTTAAATGTAATTCAAGTAACAGAAAAAACACATATCCTCAAAATAAAAATTGGAACCCAAGTCACAACTCACAGGATTTCCTATAGGACTTATTTTAGAAAAGGAGAAGATTCTGTTTAATGGTAGGAGTGCCCAAAACAGCCAAGTGGATGTTTCCATTGATTTTATCAAGAGATAACTGAAGTTTCTCCCTAAGTTTTTCTGGAAGGCCATAGTAGAGACAGCTACCTTTTGTCCCATAGAAGCTGTATTTCTGTATCCCAAGGAGGATATAGAAAGGGCATTGGCCTTCATCCTGCCTTTAAGCTTCTCAGAGCAAAGGATGCTCCAAGAGTGGCACTTTTTTTTGGCCTACAGTTAAACAGAAATTTCAAGCATGATTACTTAGGCTGGCTATGGGAAGGACTTCCCATTCATACACCACCTAGCACAAATATTATGACTTTAATGATTTCTATGACTTTATTTAGGTGTATATTTACCCAAGCAGAGATGAAATTACTATCAAACAAAATGTTCTGAGATCACCACTTATCAATTAGAACAGTTATGAGGCATGCCACATAGGGACCACAGCATATGTGAAAATGCCTCAAGTGAACTCTAGGTGGCGACAAGATCCAACATCCTAGAACATTTGACAATGGTGAGGTATTTTTAAAGAAAGACTGACTCTGGATTAGCATTTATCCTTTAGGTCAGTGGACTGTGTCAGATTTAGACTTACCTAAACTTGACTTACAGGATCAAACTGAGTTAAACTAGGGATATTTCCTGAAATTTAGTTCTTGAAATGCTGCATCTACACAGTGACTTCTTTAAATAAATCTGAAGAACCATGTCAATAATTTTTCAAATGTTAATTTGGGGCATTAAACCTATTATTCCCTCTACTTTTATGCATAAATGAGTGCCAAGGAATGACTACTACATTTTATAAAACTTGGGTCTTTCAAAGCTGAATGGGAGAGCGGGATGCTATATAAACACATAATGACATCTATGAGGGGAATGTCTACTTCTGTTAGCCTGAATCATAACTTCCAAATTTAGCCCTATATTTTCTGGAAGGCAAAAGCCTGGCAAAAAGGAAGGTCCGAGAATGAAGGCCAGAGGGCCTTAGGATCTACTGAATGCACATTCCCTAGTGAAGGTAAGGCCCAAATAATTATTTATTCATTGTGATAGTATCAATCACTTCTTTTTCTTACCAAAGGAACCCTCCCAACTAGCAAAGATTCTGTTTCATTATACAACGCCTTCACATTGATGGCTATTTCAGTGGCAGTATCTCTTGTAAGATTCTAGAAAAGAAGAATATCAAAGACACATAATTCTGCATTAAACTAGGATTCCATTGTAAGTAAATACTTTAAATTACATTCATTCATGATTTAAATTCACATCACAGTTTTTAGAAAATCTATCAAAATTCTGTTATAGGCACAAATCTCCAATAAAAAGTTAAAATCCATCAAAAATGGAAACAAACCTTACATGATGCCATTCACTGTTGGGAGAAATGTAAACAGTATAAAATTAATCTTCGTAATACTGTCCTACTATAATAATTTCATAGCCACTTCCTATCGCAATTGCAGTAGGCTCAAGTGTTGATAATAGCCACTTAAAATGTCCCGTGACACTAATGACCTCCACCTGAGCAGATGTCTCTTCAGCAAATCATCACTCAAGTGATCTCTCATGGTTTGCATATTTCTAACTGTACACAATACATATAACATACAAATTATGGGTGAATTGGCTTTTGATGTAAGTCAACAGCAGGCTATTAAGAGGTAAGCTTTTAGGGAGTCAAAAATTAAACACAGAATTTTGACTGTGTATGGGAGTTGGTACCCTTCACCCATTTGCTGTTCAGTGTCAACTCTAGTTAGGTCTATTTACTGACTTTCACTTTCAATCAAATTGCTTTTTATATTTGTAATCTTGAGAACTAGCATTTACTTAAATGCTAATTTAAGTAATTTCAATTTACTTACAAGAATAACACTATCAGTTTTCTCTATACTATACCATTGTACTGTGTTTTACAATTTAAGATAGTTATGTTCTCTCTTCTATTATTTAACTTCTGCATTAAAAATTTTACATAAGTATCAACTTAAAATTCAGCAAAACAAAATGAGGTAGGAGTAATTTCAGTGCACAATTTCAAAAGTGAGCAAACATCTCTAACAGAATGCACACTGATTTTTAAGTCTGGCCTTGATTAAGGTGCAGGAGAGAGGGTATGAAAGGACTAAGGAAAGATGATATCAGTTAAAAGGAGAAACACTTGAAGGAAGGTGGCAAATGACTGAAAGTAAAATAGAAAAAAATGGGGAGAACTGAAGGACAGGAGTGAAAAACATGGGAGAAAAAGGAAAATAAAAAAATTTGTTGACAAATTTCCCAAAAGCTTCCGGTAGAAACTCATATGGACTACATCATTTTCTTTCACAGGATGTGGCATATTTTACAGCATTAAGATCATATGTGTAATACCAAAAGAATCCATGGAATGAGAATTTACCATGAGATCCTCACCTCCGGGCACCTTGGGTTGGCTTTATTCAGTGCATGTGAGCATGCATTCACCGCATGGGCCAGTTCTTGTTCCAGAAGACAGTGAATTGTGGCTGCGTCACAAATCCTAAAAATGAAAACAAAACAAGTGAGCAAAAAACTTTGGGGGCATTGCTGATTTTTTTTTTCCTGGAGTATAGAAGTAGTTGGGAAAAAAATACCCTATAAAGATCACCAAGGAAAAAAAAAGTTTAAATGGCTGCTTAATTATGGAGGGCACAGGATATATTTATAAAATGTAGACCTCATTGCAACAAAAAAATTAAAAACTCTTTATGTAAAATGTTAGGTTCATAATCAGAAATAAGCATTTTGAAGTGCTACTAACAAAATGGAGTGATACTTCATTTGGCAGTATCATTGGAAAGAGAGGAATCACAAATATAGAATAGAAACTTTTACTTATTGAAACTTCAAATTCAACATATATATCATCTGTATACAAATTAGGGGAACATATATATCATCTGTATACTAAGTGCTTTACAAGCATTATCTAATTTAATGTTCACAACTTTAAGGAGTAGCTATGATTAGTTTTCTCCACTTCATGGATGAAGATGTTGAGGCTCAGAGAGATTGAGTGTATGTATAGAGCTAATAAGTGATAGAGCCAGGATCTACTTCCATTCAACTCCAAAGCCTGTTGTGCCACACTCCTCGAGTAGTCAAACCTCTAAGAATGGTTTCTGGAAAGCAAAAATCCTAGAAGTCCCCAAGGCAAAGAAAAGGAAGGAGGAAAAGTTTATCAGAAAATAATGCAAAGTTTGCAGATGAGAAAGAAGGCAAGAGTAGGCAAATACTTTTTGCTTCTGACATCTTCAAGGAGAAAGATCTTTAATCTAGAAAGAACAGAAAAATATCAGAAGTCCTACACACTTGAATCAGGAGTAAGAGAGGAATTTAATTCTTAAGGATCTTGCAATTGGTATACAAATTATAAAGGAACCTACAAATGAATCTCAGCATTATAGCATCAATAATGTTGAGCAACCATGGAGAATAGATAATTTATTAAAAGAACAGATTTGGGTAAATGTTTTCCTAATTTTCAAAGAATGGGAAAGAATTAATGTTCAGATGACCATTTCTACTTGGCAACTGAAATCTCTTCCTCAATATTTGTAATGTAATTTAAAATCTTTAGTCCAACTTGGAACCTGTCACATCCTCTAATTATATCATATTATAGATATCATATGATACCCAAAAAGTAGAGCTGGACATGATGTGCTTTACCTTTCAGGTATTATATAATCTTCATAGTAAAGTAGCTCCATTTATATCCATGTGGTAGAGAAGATTTAGGTGAAGAAAAGTCAAGAAGTCTTTCTTCTCTGAAGCTCACTTCTGGTTCTAGTGATTTTCATGTATTTTATACTCAGTACCTATGTCTTATCTCTTCCCTTTCTGTCTACCAAAAATTAATTTTTGTGTGTTCTCTAAATTCTGTTGCATACTTGTTAGAAACTGGTTCTAGGGACTCTTTTTATTTTATTTTAAATAATATGACTCTCTTTGGGAATAGGGTTAATGTTTGGGCTTCTTTCTACATTCCATGAACATTTAATTAATAATTATAAGGCAATATGCAAGTGAATAATAGAGTGTGAAGATCATATGTAAAAGAGAGTATTATGTGGCAGGGTAAATTAATCATGTTTTCAGAAGTATAAGATCTGGTCTGAGGACTTGATAAAGGAGAGTGGCAATTATAGAGGCAAACATGAAGCAGTAAATGCACCCCTTTTTGATTCTACAAGCAACTAAAACTACAAATTAAAAAACAAAACTTGCTAAGACTAGAGTTCTCATGGTCTGGAAAGCCGGCAGAACCTCCTACCTAGTAATAAGCTCTTCTGCAGCCTGGGAGCACAGCTGCATCTGCGACACCTCTTCTGTTGCCAGGTCAACGGCATGTTGGATGAACAAATGGGTTCGAAGAACTGTTTTACCAGTGTCGCACTTCTGTTTATCTTCCCAAGATTTTAGAGTGCTTTCAAAGGCCTGTTTAAAAGTAGTATTGCAGTAAATGTTTTGTGTAACAGCCCTGAGACTCAGATAAATGTGTATTTAGACATTATATGAAAATCTTTGAAACTATGCTTTCTTTTTCTGTAACACCTGACTCAATAAACCACAAACATGAAACAAGACATTTTAAAGTTTTCCAATGTATCACACCAAAAAAAGAGTAATGTGATCGATAAGGATAAATATATCACTGAACATAAAAAGACTTTAAGTTTCAATGTTTATTTCTTCAATTTATGCTTCAATCTTTACCATTTTATTTTACTTTGCTATTTTATCTTAACTATTTTACTAGATAGCATGAATATTGTCAGTCTTATTTGTTAAGGGTTGACCTTAATTAAAAATATATACTATAGGGAAGACAAAACTAATGGAGACAGTAAAAAGATCAGTGGTTTCCAATAATAAGGGAGGACAGATGCATAGGTGGACCCTAAGGGGTTTTAGGCTGTAAAACTATCTGCATGACACTATAATGGTGGATACAAGTCAAAACTCCTCGGTACACAACACAGAGTAATGTGAACTAGGATTTTAGTTAATAACATATTAATATTGGCTTATCAGTTGTAACAAAAGTACCACGCTAATGCAAAATATTAATAATAGGGGAATATGTGTGTAACAGGAAGAAGGATGTATGTGGGAATACAATTAGAGTCCTCTGTGTACTTTTGCTCAATATAAGCCTAAAGATTTTAAAAAAATATATTTAATTTAAAACAAAACTGAATATTCATTCATATTTAAAATCACAATGATTTAAATGTCAGATTTAAGAGAATTTAAATCTTTCCCATTTCCTATTTTTCGTGACAATTTAGAATTTAAAAAAAACAATTTGATAAAATTCCAGAATAATTTTTTGTTGTTGTTATTACATACTCTGTCCCTTGTTAGCATCTGAGCTCTGTTTTTGTGCACAATTTTGATAATCCCTGGAGGCTGGACCCATGCTTCACCATCCACCTGCACTGGAACTCCCTCATCACCAAATATGGTGATTTTTACTGTGCGGCACTGAAATAAAACACATTGTTTTAGAGAATAAGTCATCCTGAGAAATTGACCATCAATCTCTGCATGTGTTCAGGCTTGATATTTAGGCCATTCTGTGGGAATGGAATGCTATGCTAAACCACTTATGATGACACAGTAAGAACTGACCTGACAGCAAAGTCAATATCATACAGAAGCATATTCAGGACAGCTGTCATTTGGAATAGCGGCCCCCAGCCCTCCATGGCCCAAGAAGCATAGTCAGAGAAACAAACCTGGGCTATTCGATGATGCTGCAGCTTAATGACCCTTGAAACTGCCATTTGCATGCTATCAAATATTGCAACAACTTCCAAGATCTTGTCATCAAATGATGGTGCAGTAAATATCTGAAAGGAAAAACTGTTTCATTTTCACTGAACATTTTGGTAAAGTGGTACATCAAATAATGTAAACCCTGCTATCTGTCTATATTTAGAAACATAAAAATAGTGAGCAACAAGCAAATAAACATTAGAAAATGATAATCCAAGAAAAAAAATCACTGAAGATGGCTTAAAATAAATGTAATTTTTAAAAAGGATTTTGCATAGGGATAGAAGACTCATTTACATAAAGCACTGTTTGGACTAATGCATTTTTAAATGCTTCATCTTGGTATAAATGCAGCAAACATCTGCCATATATAATTCAGATGTTTTGCTAAGCTAATGTCTGTAATTTTTAGAAATCTAAGAAACCCAAAAGGTGAAACAGTTTCATCAGGTTAAAGCTAATGAACATGCAAATTATGATACAGTTCACTTGGTTATTCTAAGGGAGATCTTTCAAGGTATTATAAGCAGCATGCACGTGTGCCTTGTATCTTAATACAATAACTTTTTAGGGTATTGAACTATGGAAACAGAAACCTCCGGTGGTAAAATTCACGTAAACTTTCTTTTTCTTTATGTTAGATGCCTTTTCACAAAATTAATTACTTAAAAATTTAAATTTAGACTGTATGACTTTCCCTCTTTTGCCCCCTCTTTTTCTTTGTCATAAATAATTATTATTCTAAAAAAAACAACATCAAGTAGTATCCAAATTGAGAACTTTCATTGAAAATATCAGGAAACAAACTTTCTAACTGATGATTAATTACGTGGCAAAAGTAATTTTGCTGATGTAATTAAATTATGGACCTTGAGATGGGGAAATTATCCTGATGCTCTGGGTAGACCCAAAGTCATCACAAGGCTCACTAAAAAGTGAAAGAGGAAGGCAGAAAAGGTGACTAGAGTGAAGCAATGAAAATCCAACCTGAGGGAGGAACATGAGCAGCTTCTAAAAGCTGAAAGGACAGGAAACAGATTCTCCCTTACTGCTTCCAAAGTCACACAGCCCTCTGACATCTTGATTTTATTAGCCCAGGGAGACTTTGTCAGACTTATACCATATAGAAATGTAAGATGGTAAACCTGTGTTTTTACTAAATTGGTGTTAATTTGTTATAGCAGCAGTAGAAAACTAATACAGGTATAAAATTAAGAAGCAAGATCTTCCTTTCTTTATATCCTAAATTTACTTTCCTGAAGTATATGCTTTTGCATTTACCCCCCAAATTGTAACCTACATCCCAGAATAAGGAATTTTAGAGTAAATCCATGAAAAATTATCTAAATAAAACCTTGAACAAATCTATTCTATCCCTATACCTTCCCTGTGTAAAACATTCTGACATTAAATTAATATTTAAAGTACATCTTTAAAATATATTACATGAATTGAATCATTGTTGAGGTAACAGACTCTATTTCTATTTTGCTACTTACATCATCCTCTTTGGTTCCACCCCAGAAGTTAGTGCCTCCTGCATAGCTAGGGATGTTTAACACTGCTATGCCTTGCAAACTGGGGAGAGGAATATACTGCCCATCGCACTGCAAAGTACAAAGCCTAGAGGTTAGACTTCAAGAGCAACACCATTAGTTTGGAGGATAGTAAAACACCAAAGTCAAAGAGTGAGGGAGCAAAATGTATTGGTTATGTTTGTTCTCTTGTAAGTACATTCCTACACATTACAAAGGCATTTATCTTATTTTTTTCTTAATTGAAAAAAAATTGAAAGTATAAATAAAAGCTGCTACAGAAAACTGCATTTAGAAATAAATGCTTTCCCTCTTCTTTCCCCTCAAATCAGGCAGTAACTTTCTTGAATCCTTTTCGGCCACTTGAGAGATTCTCACTTGCTTTATGAGTTTAGGCATCCTTTTGAAAGCAACTCTTTAAGGGCAGGTTCTGGTCCAGCCCACGTTGGTAACACCTCTCTAAAAGGAACTGGTTACTGGCTAAACTCTAAAGCTGAGTTTTTCAAGGAGTCAGAATCAAAGCCAAACAAAAAACAAGCTTGTTGGAAAGCACCTGACACTCCTTGCCTTCTCATTACTCACTCAAATGAAAAGTACCACTTAAATGAAAACAACAATGACAAAAGTAATACTGTTGGTGAAGTAATTATATATGTGAATAAGTTTTACTGAGTAGAAACAGAATTGTTACCTTTTCACAAATGTTATTTATTAAATTAATGTTGTTTGCTTTACGCTATTAAGTCTTAGAGCCCAGCTATTAAGAAGGAGATAATCAGTAAAGGGACTGAATGTTTTCACCACAAAGAAATGATACATGATTGAGGAAATCCATGTGCTTACCCTGTTTTGAACATTATTCAATATGTACATGTACCAAACTATAACATGGTACCCCATTAACATGTATAATTTTTATATATAAATTAAAAATATTTTAAATTACTCAAGAAAATGAGTATAATTATGTTACATAAATTTTATGATCACAATAATTTAATCAGTATTTGGGCTGGGGTTGTAGCTCAGTGGTAGAGCACCTGTCTAGCACATGTGAGGCACTGGGTTTGATGCTCAGTACCAAAAATAAAAAAATAAAGGTATTGTGTCCATTTACTACTAAAAAAAAAATTAATCAGTATTTAAACCGAGCCACCTAATGAAACTAAATGAACATTTGATTTAATGGAAAGATTTAAACCTTTTTTTTTTTTTATCTTTTAAGACTTCAAAATGGTTGGGCTGGGGATGTCGCTCAAGCAGTAATGCGCTCGCCTGGTATGCGCGGAGCGCTGGGTTCGATCCTCAGCACCATATAAAAGTAAAATAAAGATGGTGTGTCCAATCTCTCTTAAAAAAAAAAAAAATGGTGTGTGTGTGTGTGTGTGTGTGTGTGTGTGTGTGTGCGCGTGCCTGCCTGCGCGTGCTCAGTTCTGGTAGTTGAACCCAGGGGCATTCTACCACCAAGGTACACCCACAGTCCATTTTATTTTGAGACAGAGCCTCACTTATTTTCCCAGATTGTCTTCAAACTTGCCACCTTCCTGCTTCAGTCTCCTGAGTTGCTAAGACTATAGGTCTGTGCCACCATGCCAGCTTAAGCTTTATTTAAAAAGAGAAGCGCTTACAAATGTCATATTTAAAATAGATTCTATACCTCCATTAAATAAGTCTCATATTAAAAATTATTAACATCATAAAAATGGCATTTTAATGCTCAATCAAAATTGTCTTTAACATTTAGAATAAATGAGAATCTAGTTTGAATCCATTTTCAACCACTGGTATAATTGAGACCTCATATGTTTTATTTACCTCTACATGAGATTTTTACAATTTTTTTTCCTTTCCCGAAGATAGGGTGTTAACCAGTAGACAGGCTGAGTATTCAATATTTACAGGTCTACATTGTAACCCAGCACTCAGGGCCAATGCCTGGCATATAGCTAGTACTGAATATATACTTGTTAAATGAATATTAATTACTTAGTAGAATAATGAACTTTTTCTAAATTCAATACATTAAACTGGTATCTGTGTGCTTTAGAAAGAGCTGTTTTCATTAACATGACTAAGTTAAAGGAAATGGAAAAACTGCTGTCTCTGTAAATATAAAAGAAGTAATTTTAAAACTGTTTAATGGATGCACTTTATTTGCAAGCATGAATGGAATAAGATGAACATTTTCAGAAGGAAGTGCCATGTATACTGCCAAATGTAACCATTATGTATTAAGCAAAACACAAGTGAAGTACTTAATGTCTGTGTCATGGAGTCTCATAGGAAAAACACAAGCAGCACAGATTTGACAAATTAGCATCACATGACCGAAAACTTTCTTATATTCAGGAAGAACTTCGGGAGTATTATATCCTTTTATAATTGTCCCATTCATCCCACATTCCATTTGTGGTTCATGATGTTGCAAAATGCCATGAGACTCCAGATATACACATGCATATACATACCTGTCTCCATATGTGTGTGTATATCTGCATATGTGTATATGCGTGTGTGAATATATATTATTTTATATATATATATATATATATATATATATATATATATGTATAGAATAGGACAGATGTGTACGTGTGTGTGTGTGTGTGTGTGTGTTTGTCTGTAAATATATCTGTCCTGTTCTGTTACTCTGACCAAGCAATGTGAGATAGTGGAAAGATCATGGGCTTGGTTTGAATTCTCTCACTGAGTATTTTGAGTAAGTCCCTTAAATTTTCAAAGCTTCATTTTGCTCAACTGTTAAATGGGTTAATAATTGCTAACACTTAGTGTGGCCAATGAAATGAGGTATAGGAAAGCACCTAGAACACATAATCAGAAGTCAGTGAATTTCCTTCTTTAGTCATGATTACATATTGTTTTATGGTAACAAAGCAGTGAATTTGAAGTGATGGCTCCTTCAGTTATCAGCTGTTTGACCTTAGGCAAGTTCCTCCTCTGAATTGAATAACAATACCTACCATGTAAAGTACCAGGATTGAACCCTGGGCACTTAACCATTGAGCCACATCCCCAGTCCTTTTTAAAATTTTTTTATTTTGAGACAGGGCCTTGCTAAGTTGCTGAAGCTGGCTCTGAACTTCTAATCCTCCTGCCTCAGCCTCCCAAGTCACAGGGATTGCAGGCTTGGCCCTAACTCATAAAGTTCTAACAATTAAATGTGATGGTATAGGCAGAATTCAGTAAAATTCAACTAGTATAAAATAATTTAACCAGTAGTTATGACTAATTATTATTGAAGTAAACTAAACAAAGATAGAAATCACTATTTCTATCTAATAACCAAAATTTATTTAGGTTTTACAAAGTATAAACAGATTATAGAAATAGTTTAAGTAACCAAAAATGTGAAATAAACAAATATTTGTTCTCCAATACCTATTTCATTATAGCTTACAGATGGATCTTGTTTTTTAAAAGTGACTTGTTTTTCTTCATTTTATCTTAGTATTTAAAGGATTCAAAACAGTATGCAATCATTATTTCAGTTAATAAATAGGAAAAGCTCCTTGACACATGTAAGTTAGGTATACTATAGGCAAAAAGTCATCCATTCTTAATCAAAATGTTTAAAAATTTAATGAGATTTTCCTATTTATAGCTGTAATCCCAACAGCTTGGGAGGCTGAGATAGGAATATCAAGGATTTCTCTATCATAAGAGTAGCAAGATGTGTTACTGTGATTTTATTTTATATTTTTGGCATTCCCAAAAGATTATAAATCTCAGTCAATGTTGGGTGTATTTCAGAACCAAAATTGATGGCTTGGGAAACAAAATTTATACATGTAGAATTCTTTTCAGTTTACACTGTTATTTCTTATACCTTAGCTCACTGAATTATAATTTGCACAGAAGTATTATTTCATTTGTTGTGTAGACAGAGAAACCAAAGTCTTTCTTCCACACAAATTCAAAGTTGAGACTTGAAATCAGTCTCCTTTCATACCACAATATTCTGGACTGACACTGATGCAGAGATTTCTCTGGAAAGAGCTTCTAAAGATGGGGCTATCTCTTCGCCTTTATCTCCAGTGAACCATCATATCAGGGAAATTAATTTGTAGACAACAGGCCTTCCATGGTCTGTTATTCTTGGACACAGAAGGTGTTCCTTCATTTACTTTAAATGGCAAAGAATTCTCTACTTTTTTTTGGCAGGGGGGGGGGGTGGTACTGAGGATTGAACTCAGGGGCATTTGATCACTGAGCCACATCCCCAGCACTATTTTGTATTTTATTTAGAGACAGGGACTGTGTTGCTCAGTGCCTCACCATTTGTGAGGCTGGTTTTGAACTTGTGATCCTCCTATCTCAGCCTCCTGAGCTGTTGGGATTACAGGCGTGTACCACTGGGCCCAGCGAATTCTCTACTTTTAATTTTTCTGTTTTTATATGTCTTGTTTTACTAATTTGTTTCTTCATGTATCATTTAACATACACTTCTATATCAAGGATCTTAACTTGAGGTACAGAAACCCAGGGTCCATGAATAGTTTCAGAGGGACTGTTGAACTTGATGATAAAAATAAAACTTTTATGTTCACTAACCTCTGGAATTTAGCATGGTCCTCAGTTATAAATGTAGACAACAAACAGGCATTAGCAATACCTGTAATTTCACTGTCAATAGAAATACAGTTTTTTTTTTTTTGTATATTACAAATGTTTCAGATATCATTTATGTTCATCATTTCTTTAAAATTATAGTATTTATTAGACATGCCACTAGATTTTCACTTGATGTGGCAATGAAACATACATTACTTTTAAACAATTTAAAAATATTTTGGCCTGGCGTGGTGGTGCATGCCTGTAATCCCAGTGGCTCAGGAGGCTGAGACAGGAGGATCAAGAGTTCAAAGCCAGCCTCACAAATGGCGAGGTGCTAAGCAACTCAGTGAGACTCTATCTCTAAATAAAATACAAAATAGGGCTGGGATGTGACTCAGTGGTGGAGCGTCCCTGAGTTCAATCCCCAGTACTCCTCTTTTCAAATTTTTTTGTTAATTTATTTTAATATTATTGGTTTCTATGTATTTTATACAATGCACTTCAAAAACATTTGTAGAAGGGGTCCAGAGTTTTACCAGAATGTCAAAGGGTCTACTGCTTCAGAACCTTTTTAAATGGAGTTCAAAAGCAGCTGTATAAGAGTAAGATATCCTGTTAATAACCTGGGCATCAAGTTGAAGTGGCAAATCTATGTTTGTAGAGCCAAGTTTCTTGCAGGAACTAAGACCCACCAGACATTCTGATTCCAGATAACTCTTTAAACTTTAAAGATGGTCAGTCATAGGGGTTGATCACAGAACAGTTTGTAAAAGTATACCTAATCATTCTGTTTTCCCCCTTTAGTATAGTACTGAATACATTACATCAGATAATCAACACTTTATATAAAGCAGGCTTTGTGCTATGTGATTTTGTCCAACTGTAGGTTAATGTAACATTTGAGGTAGGCAAACTTAAGCTATGATGCTTGGTAGGTTAGGGGTATTATATCATTTTTGAATTACAGTTTCAATTTATAATGAGTTTAATAACCCCATCTTATCAAATTACACTAAATCATCATTTACCTGTTCATTTACTCAAGAGAGGGCTAGGTGCTGTGCTAAGTACTGGAGAAAACAAACACAACTCCCTACCTGTTCTTATGGAGTGTGAACAACTAGAGACATAATTAGAAAAGGAAGGATTACAATACACAAGACACAGGAGGACATCTAAGTTGATCTGGTGATGAGGCTGTGAAAAATAGCATTTACAAAATGTGATCCTTCCTGATTTTTGCATCTTTTTTAAAAAATTTGATTTGTTATATATGACAGCCGAATATATAACAATTCATATTATACATAGAAAGCGCAATTTTTCATATCTCTGGTTGTACACAGCAGAATCACATCCTTTGTGTCTTCTTACATGTACTTAGGGTAATGATGACCATCACATTCCTCCATCTTTCCTACCCCTATTCCACCCCCCATTACCTCCCTCCCCCTTTCCCTTTTTGCCCTATGAAGAGTTCATTTAATCCCCCCACACACACACTCACAGAATATTATAAATTAGCATCCTTAAATCAGAGAAATTATTCAGCATTTGGTTTTGGGGGATTGGCTAATTTCACTTAGCATTATATTCTCTAGCTTCATTCATTTACCTGCAAATGCCATGATTTTATTCTTTTAATGCTGAATAATATTCCATTATGTATATATACCACATTATTTTTATCCATTCATCTACTGAAGGGCATCTAGGTTGGTTCCACATTTTAGCTATTGTGAATTGTGCTGCTATAAACATTGATATGGCTGTGTCCCTGTAGTATGCTGTTTTTATGTCCTTTGGGTATAAACCAAGGAGTGGGATAATTGAGTCAAATGGTGATTCCATACCCAGTTTTCCAAGGAATCTCCATACTGCTTTCCATATTGGCTGCACCAATTTGCAGTCCTACCAGCAATGTATGAGTGTGCCTTTTCATTTGGTTATCTCTACGTTAATTTAACAAGCATAGTTATAAGTTTAGAGTGGAAGTCTTTATCTTCACTATAACATTCAGTTGATAATAACTGAGCCATGTACCTCTTTAGTCCACATTCCAGTGTTAAGATAAACAACAACAACAAACCTCTCCTCCCCCCCCCGCAAACCCAATGCTTTTAAAAGTATATCATACATACAGAAAAATATACAAATCTTAAGTCTGAAATATTCTGATCAGTAAATCAAACCAAGCATTGTTATTTTAAGTGTTATCATAACAAGAATATGAACTAAAGAGGTGCCTGGCTCAATTGCTATCAACTAAATGATATATTTTAAAAATATCTGGTTATAAAAGGATACAAGATACAAAAGACACACCTGTCATCATAAACAGTGAGACTGAACCAAGGGTAGAAGAAAATGAAATTCACAGTTTAACTGACTTTGCTGAGCTATGTCCCCAACCTTTTTTATTTTTTTTCTGTGATCAAAGAAGACTTAAAATCTTTTAATTTCCTATTTAAATCAGTAAAAAATAGTGGAAAAAAAACCCTAAATGCTCAAAATCTTTTTCTTTCACTGACTTGCTATTAGAAATAATTGGAACAAAAATAAATACATATTTTAAATTAAAAGACTGTACTTAGTATAAAAGTTATTTTAAGGGATTTGTGAAACTCTGGGTATTACAGAACTGAGTCAGAACTGGGAAACTGAAATGAGAAAGTCCACTAAAAACCCTATCCTATAAATGTACTCCCATGACTCCACATTTTCATGGGCACTGCGACTCCACTTTCAGGAGCTAATGACAACAATGGTGAAGTGTGGGTTCATGTCCAGTGTTTATACCTACGTTAGCAAAAAGTCACTCCCTTGATCTTTTTTCCTCCTGAACATTTAATCACTAATCAAGGGGAATTTAGGTCATATTAGCCCTACAGATGAAATTATTTTTCTAAATAAGATAATGTGAAATGTCTTTACTTTAACATGAACTTACCTCAAGTTGAACTCTTTGTTCTAAATTTTTGTATGATCTCTGTAATAATTCCCGGGTCCCAAGGACTCCATACCACATCAAGTTTTTAGTTCGGCTCCTAAAAATAAATATCCGTGGACATCTCAGGAAATTTTACTCCATGAAGGCAGAGCAAGCAAAAGAAATGAATAAAATTAAAGTAAAAACTGCCTTCAGGTGATAACATTATTTTCAAAATTACCTGTATTTTTCAGGGTGCTCCTCTCTCTTATTATTAAATTCTAATGAAATTTTTGCATCCAATCCAATCCCAAAGTAATTGTTCATGACACATTTTTCTGAATATCCATCTCTGCAACAATAAGGAAAAGTACATAAAGGTTAATTTCAGGTTCATTACAACAATTAAATTTGTTCACAAAACAGCACTTAAAATCAGTTAAGCTTCTACTCCTTACAGAAGACTGCAAAGCTCGGTAGGAATTACTTCCTATATACATATGCCATGTGCATAGCCATAGTACATGTGTACAATTTTTGGTACATGTGATATAAAGGGCAAGGAAAATCAGAGACAAAGTAATGGATTGTTTTCTATTAAATTTAACAAAGTCACAGTCCTTCTATTTTCTCTATAAGTCTCTTGTTACCAGATAGGTGAAGACGGTTATGGGAAGAGCCTGGTAGTTAGGTGGCCTTACTCCTCTTTTTCAACCATTAGAAAGTCTTCTCCCCTTTGACTCTTAACAATGGGAAAATATTTGCATAAAAAGCTACTAGAGTCAATCCATTCTTCTAAGTACTGTTGGAAGTTCAAAATATGGTACTTTGAGGAATGTCATTATGGAGTGTGATATAACAAAGGCCAAATGGAAAGAAAAAATATATCTTTTGTAAAAAAATATTTTTTTAGTTGTATATGGACACAATGCATTTGTTTGTTTGTTTATTTATTTATATGTGGTGCTGAGGATCAAACATGTGCCCCAGTGCCTCACACATGCCAGACGAGTGTGCTACCACTGAGTCACAACCCCAGCCCAAAAAAGTATAAATTGAGTTGCTAAAAATATAGAAATGTTGAGAAAGGAAGAGGTCAGTATGTGATAAAAGCTCCCAAAATAAGAAAATCTAGAAGCTGGGTATGAAAAGATGGCAGATTTGGCAAGACTGAGAAGAAAGAAGAGAAAGGGAACAGCAGAAACACAGGTGTAAAGGCACCTGATAAGTGAAAGCCTCCAGAGAGAAGTGAGCAGACCTGTGCTTCCTCTGCCAGAACGTGCTCTGGAAGAGAACAGGTGGGAAAGTGACTGCCTCTGGACAGACCAGAGACATCACTGAATTTCCAAGGGCTTAATGTGCCTCTTATTATCAACTTTCTGAATTTTCTGATCACTCTTTTTATATATGGAGCCACACATCACGATACATATATGCTATAATTCACATTATGAAGAAATAAGAAAAGCCAAAAGAAAAATAATTGCAAAAACATTTTCTTACACTGAATCTAGATCTGGGTCAATAAATGGCGTTGCACCAAAAGGATCGATATTTGCTAGTAACATTTTGTTGATAATGGAACTCCCAGCAATTGAAGCAGCTAGTCCTGCTCTTAAACCTGAACAGAAAATACATAAAGCATCACATGTTAAGGAAAAAGAGAAACAACCAGTCAATTCATGCCGAATCACAAACATCTTGCTCCTAGAATATGGTTTTCAGTGCCTACTCATCTTATTAACCCAAACTAAGAACTATGAAATTTATGACTATAAAGTTTTTGGTGCTTCCAAGTATCTATATGTTCTCATAAAGAATTGAGGAGATGAGGATATTAACAAAAGTCTCTTCATGACATTTTCTCTTACCATCCTAGCAATTCTATAATTTCAACAAATAAATACATATTACTTCTTTATTATAGCAAATAATGTAATAAGTCTATGAGGAATTTAAAATAAAGCCTGAATTGCCCAAAATATCATGGAGTTACCACCTTTATACTCTCAAAAGTGTAGATAATAATAATTTAAAATGTTAGGAGGTGTATTAAAGTAAATAGTGTTACTGTCAAGAATAAGTAGTAAATACGAAATGCAGGTATTTATGAATTTTAGAAGAATATAGTATTGAACATAAAAAATAAAGCACCTATCTTACCTCTGCATATTCAGAATATGCAAAAGCCCCAATTGATTTCAACATTCTTTCCACTAACTCATGGCATTCAAAGCTAATGAATTTTATGCTCTACTCAACCTAATATAAGGTTGGAAACACCAAAGTCTGCAGAGAAGACAAAGTAATATGGGCCAAGAGAACAAACAAGAAAGGACAGAAGGGTGAACAAAAACAAGAACCGCTAGGAAATTAGAAAAACAAGTCCTTTCTTTGGCAAGCCTTCCTTCCCTCAACAGTGAGCTCTTCTTAGAGGATATTATTATTCATTATTTTAATTAGTAATTTTTTCCAGAGTATCAAATTATCAGAATGAGTTTTAATTTTCATAGTCTTGAATATTCTATGTGATGCTTTACTATATCATTTTCCTTTTATGTCTAAACATGGAAATAAAAAAACAACAAATCTGGTGAGAGTAAAGAACAATCTAGAGAAGTTCTCACACCCCACAGGCAGGCATAATATTCTCTAAAATGTCTCAAGATAACATTAGAGCTCCAGCCCAGCAGGGCCATCCCTGTGTTCCTGGAGAGAATGAAAATATGACTTCTATGCCAAAGCCAGGCAAGTTCTGGAATTATCTTTCTTTCTTTCAATGTATTACGGTGATACAATTCATACACCATAAAATACACTCTTTGAAGTTTTTAAATAATTTAGCTGTTTGTAGCACATGCACAAAATCGCACAACCAACACTGCCATCTAGTTCTGTAACTTTTTTCATTATATGCAAAAGAAACCCTGTACCTTAGCCATCACTTTCCAGTCCCTAGACACCACTACTCTACTTTGTATCCCTATGAGTTTGACTATTCTGCACATTTCATGTAAATAGAATCATGTAATATTTGGCCATGTTCATTTTTATTTTAAAGTCCAAATCCAGTGTATGACTTTACTACTTTTTGCTTATCCAATAACTGATACTTTATATGTTGTTTCCAATTTGGGGATATTGTGAATGTGGCCAGAGGTAGTCATGTTCAAGTTTTTGTGTAAACATGCATTTCAATTTTCTTAGGTATATGTACAGTAGTGGAATTGTTGGGTTATCTGGGTTATATATTAACTCAATGTTTAGTTTTAGGAGGAACTATCAAACTGTTTTTTGAAATGACTGCACTATCTTATGCATCTACCAGCAATGTACAAACATTTCAGTTTCTTTATATCTTTGCCGATATTCTTTATTGTCTGGTTTTTGTTGGTTTGTTTTCTGTTTTTAGGATATTTTCAGGAGTGGGGGACTGAACCCGGGGCCAAGCCAGGCAAGTGCTCCACAACTGAGTTTCACTATACTCCCTGCCCTTCAGCCTCTTTTGATCACAGCCACCTGAAGGGGATACCTCATTGTGGCATTTACTTACAATCCCCTGATGATTAATCACACTGAACATCCTCTCATGTGCTTATCGGTTATTCGTTATTTGTGTATTTTCTTTGGGAGACTATCTATTCAGATACCTGTCTCATTTTAAAATTGGGACATTTGTCTTTCATTGTTGAATTTTTAGATTTATTTATATATTGTGGATAATAGTCCCTTTTGATATATCATCTGTAAATGCCTGAGTTCTCACTTTACTCTCTTGGTAGTGTCCTTTGAATCGCATTTTTTTTTTCCTTTCTCCTCCCCCAGCTCTGTCCCAGGTCTGCAGAGTGAACCCAGGACCACTCTACCACTTAACTTCATCCTCAGCCCTTTTTATTTTAAGACAGGGTCTCATAAGTTGCCCAGGCTGGCCTTGAACGTGACCTCATGCCTTAGCTTCCTGAGTCACTGGGATTACAGGTGACCAAAATACCTGACAAAAACAACTTAAAGATTACCTCTGCACCTGGCTAGCTTTTCCTTTTGCTACTTCTGCTTCTTGTCATATCTAAGAGACCATTATGTTATGAACATTTATGCCTTTGCTGTCTTTATCGTAGCTTTTTAGCCCTTGGGTCCAACTTCATCTTTACATGTAAAATCTAGTCATTCCCAATACCAATGGTGGAGAAGGCTATTCTTTCTCCATTGAATTGTCTTTCTACACTTGTTGAAATTAACATAAATATAGGAATTTATCTTTGGACTTTCAGATCTACTTCATTGATTTATATAATGCACTTATTCTAGTATTATGTAACTTTTTTTTTAATTGGGAAATGTATCCCCTTCAACTTTGTTCTTTAAGATTATTTTGCCTATTCTGGGTCTTTTACATTTCCATATGAATTTAAAAATTGGTTTGTCAGTTTCTTCAAATTAACAGTGGGGATTTTTGACAGCAATTGTGTTCAACCTGTAGTTGAACACAATATTGCCATCTCAATAATATTTAGTCTCCAACACTTGAACTTAGATGTGAGTCCATTTAGTTAGGTCTTCTTTAAATTCTTTCAGCCATGCTTTCTAGCTTTCAGTGTTTGCGTCTTTTACTTTTTTGGTTAAATTTATTTTTGATGCAACTATAAATGAATTTTTCTTAATTTCATATTCAGGTTGCTCACTTACAGTATATAAAAATATAATTATAGAAATACAACTTTTGCATACTGATCTTTTTATCTTTTTATTGTTATATTTATTTATTAGCTTTCACTATTTTTTTTTTGTGTGTGTATGTATGTGTGTGTTGTGTATCCCTTAGGATTTTCTATATGAAAGAGCAATTAATGAAGACATACAGTTTTCCTTCTTCCTTTTAATCTGGATGCCTTGAATTCTTTTTATTTCGTCTAACTGCCAAGGCTGGAATCCCTGGTACGAAAACTAGGATGTACCAATTAGGTTACAGTTCTCACAATCCAATCATTTTACACCTGAACTTTCCTGCATCAACACAAGCATAACAGATGCCCTTTACCATAAATAAAGAAGTTTCCTCCTTTTCCTGGTTTTTCAAGCATTTTTACTTTGAGAGGATGTTGGATTTAAAAATTTTTTTTCCAAGTCTATTGATATGACTATGTGGTTTTTGTCCTTTATTCTATTAATATGGTTTATTACATTTTATATTTTCATATATTGATTCGATCTCACATCAAAGGAATCATACTTGGTTATGGTGTATAAATCTTTTGATATGTTGTTGGATTTAGTTAGCTAGTATTTTTTTCAGATTTTTGTGTCAATATTCACAAGGGATATTGTTCTGCATTTTCTTGTGATGTCTTTGTTTTTTGGTATCAAGGTAATATGGGTCTCATAGAATGAGTTGGGAGGTATTCCTTTCTCTTCTATTTTTTGGAAGAGTTTGCAAAAGGCTGGTGTTTATTCTTTTGAAAACATTTGGTAGGCTTCACCAGTGATGCAATTTGAGCTTGGCTTTTCTTTGTAGAATTTTTTTTTTCCCAAATTAGTACTGAGTAATTCATTATCTTGTTACAAGTTTAGTCAGATTTTCTATTTCATCTTAAATCAGTTTTGGTAGGCATTTGTGTATTTCTATGCATTTATCTATTTTACCCAGGCTGTCTAATTTATAATCCTTTGGATTTCTACAATGTCTACTATGATGTTTCCTCTTTCATTCCTGATTTTTAGTAATTTCAATCTTGTCTCATTTTTGCTTTCACTTGGCTAAAGATATGTCTATTTTGTTGAACTTGTCACAGAACCAACTTTTAGTTTTGCTTATTTTCTGTACTGATTTTTCTATTTTCTAGTTTATTTCCACTATAGTCTTTATTACTTGCTGTCTCCTGTTTGCTTGGATTTAGTTTCCTCTTCTTTTTCCAAGTTATTAAGGTTATTGATTTGAGATAGTTCTACTTTTTCAATCTAGGCATATACAGCTATAAATTTCACCTCTAAGTATGTTTAAGCTGTATCAAACAAGTTTTGGTATGGTATATTCTTGTTTTCACTCATCTAAAAAAATTTGGTCTAAATTTCCTTTGTAATGTTTTTTGACCTACATATTTCCACATATTAGTACATTTCCTAAATTTCATCTTCTCATCAATTCCCACTTTCATTTCATTGTGGCAGGAAAAATATTTTGTGTGTTTTAACCCTTTTTGTTTTATTGAGAAATATTTTATAGCCTAGTATGTGGTCTATCCTTGAGAATGTTCTACAAACACTTAAGAAGAATGTGTATTCTGCTGTAGTTAGGTAGAGTGTTCTTAGACATCTGTCAGGTCTATTTGTTTTATGTGTCAAGTATTCTATTTCCTTGTTGATCTTCTATCTAGTTCTACTCACTTTTGGAAGTGAGGTGCCAAAGTCTTCAACTTTATTATTGAATTATGATTCATCTTTCAAAAGAACACGTTTGAGACTCTGGTTTTCAGAGTCTAACTTAGATTCCAACCTACTCTGAATGAAGGTGAAGAATGTTTATTAAGTCAAACAACTGGCATTTAAGGAGACCTTGGAAACACATATATTTTCCTCCATCTCTTACATATAATCATTTGGTTTCTCTACTACTAGCCTAATCCAAGCAACTTTATTTCATCAGGGCTGAAATAGATGTTTCAGATGTTCAAAAACAAAGCAATTATCACTAGAATATATACTATAAACACTCTCCTAAAAGAACATTTACCTTTGAGAACACATTTCTATATTTCATGGAAATAAGTATTTACACAGCTTCACAGAAAAGCTTAAAAATGCACCACTTTCAGAATCTGTAATACCTGGGCAGATTATTCTAGTATTGAGCACAGGGAGGTTTTCTTTGGTGGCTGTGACAGCTGGACCAGGGACAGAATCAGGTTGAGAATTGCCACGACATGCCCTGGCATCTGGAGACTGAGGTGAAGTTTTAACTGTTGGCAAGAAAGAAGTCCAGATTAAAAAGAGAAAATGACGAAGGCATAAAATTTAGCAAGACATGAAATAATCGAATCTCTCTTTAAATCAATCAGTGGAACAGAGAATATTAATTGTATTTAACTATTCTTTTACCATTTTAATTTTTTTGAAACAAAGAGGATATCTGTCAAGGTAGATGTCTTGATCTCTGATCTTAAATACATGGAGATCAATAGAAAATAGATATCTACTATAATTAAAATTCAGTAATACTCATAAATTGAATGTAACCTACACTTAAAGATAAGTAGAGAATTTGAAGACTGATGATTTTGAAAATGGAACATATGTGTTATAAAATAAGGTACCAACACCAACTTTTCTCATAAATACTGAGTATCTGATCACATTTAATTAATTTTCAGAACTAACGTGTGAAACACAAGTTAACATTGTCTTCTAAAAATGGAAGAAAAAATAGTAGTTTCAAATGAAATCAATATACTTTTCCTGCCTCAATTATTTATTCAAAATGATGGATTTGTCCCAAATGGCTCTATTATATTCTCGTAAAAGCTCAAAACATTCCAAAAATTATTCCAAAACACAATTACTCTCAAAGAAAACAACAAAAGGGAAGATTTAATTCTATCTAAACTGAGGCAATTTAACAGAGAGCAAATGGTACCTTTAACTAATTTAGGGGCTTTTGGTTGGTATTTTTTCCTAAGGGGGGGGAAAACAGTACTCTGCAAATTCAATTTAAAAAGTACTCTAAAACTTAATTATCTTCACTCTCTCTCAGACTAATTACAAATTAACTATATTAATCTTACACTCTATTCTATTCAAAACAGTCCAGCTGTACTAAAAGTAACAGAATAGTCACTCTTTTTTGTTTTAAACAGAACTCCTGAGGCTAATTTTTAATAAAAGAACTTTTTGATGTTCATTTCTGATAGAGAGCAGACAGTGTACTAATGATTAAGACTGATGTTCCACTGCAGGTAATTAAATTAGTGATTCATAGTTCTTCTTAAATAAAGCATGTCATTGATTATATTAATATATTTCTTACATCTCAGACATATGAATTATTATATAATTTAATAATGATAAAATGAGAGTGCTTCAACAAAGATAATGATTACTGAATACAGAAACACTTCTCCTCCTGGGCTAGTTTCCAGTAAGTTGGGTCACTAGCCAAAATTAAGATCAAATGCTGCAACATTAAAGACTTTTCTAAATTTATGTTTATCTCAATATCAATATCTATAGCACTATAGTTGTATATTTTAGATTGCTTTAAGTACAATGAAAGTTTTGAGTTTATGATAATATGAAAAGGGGGGATGATGGCTGGCTAGAAGACCATTCATGACTGTTAACAAACCAATCCTCAGAGACAGATGTAATCTTGGGGAAAATTATTAAGTCTGACTGTCAATATGCCATTGCCAACCTAGCTTTAGTTGATACTTTTTAATAGATGATAATATCTATGGGCCTGCTTATCAAATTCACAGATGAGAAAAACCTGAGACGATAGAATCAACCTTCAAAACATTTTGACAGGATGAAATTATAGATCCAAAATAGGAATGAGTATAAACTACTATAATCTTTGTAAACACCCAAAGTGTACAGTTAGTAGTGTTTGAGTATCAATGTGCTATTACTTAACAGAAATTATCTAACATGCATCCATGTTAATGGATATAACCAAAAAAACAAGAGGATTGAAATTCTTAAGTTAAAATCTGGAAGAAAAACTTAGCACAGGTCATTTGCAAGAGGAAACATAAGATGTGACAAGGGGACATGGTGCCATAAAAGCTATTTTCAGTATCATTTAAGGGCTGCCACATGAAAGAAGAATAAGACATGGCTCTAGAAGGCAGATTCATCTCCAATACAGTGATATATCAAGTGTGATATTGCTTTTTAAAACAATCACAAAGCATTAGACAAATGCCAGTGGTTGTCATGGTCAACATCATCATACATAAAACCTAAGAACATCTATAATCATGGGTTGAAATTTAAGAGAGAAAACAGAAAGCTTTAAGTAAAGAATACAATTACAGCCAATCATAATCATAATTAAATAATCAATCATAATTAAATAATTAACATGATTACATGATTTTTCTATTTAAGATAGAGTGATCCTCTGTCAAGAGAGTTCTAGAGTATGGATTGAGTTGTATATTCAACATCAGTGATTCAGAAAGTCAAATTTCAAAGTCTAAGTAGTTTAAGTACAATTAAAGAATGCTCTTTCAAAGTTAAAGTAATTAGCAGAAGCATCAATAAAAAATAAATAATAATGATGACAGCAAACATCCATACTGTGTACATAATGCTGGGCACTTTATATACAGTAACTTATTTAACCTTCACAACAACCCAATGAAACTGGCATGTTATTATCTTTATCTTACAGATGAAAAAGCGACAGAGAGGTTAATATGACCAAATTTATATATAAAGAAACTAAAATCAAAAAGTTAATAAATTTTTGAATGTAAATAGTTCTCACATAATTATGTTGACCTTTCATGAGTACATTAATATGTGCATCATCTTAATATCTTTATTATTATTATAATTTCTCTTTTGTATTATCTCAATAAATTAGAAACTTTTTGCTTTGGCAATGTTAAAGTATAAATTCATCCTCAATTAAATGCTAAAAGGCAGAGAAATTGTAATATTCTTAATTTCCTGGCAAAATGAATTTTGGTAAAGAAAGGGTTGTAACTAGATGTGCTCTGATTTTAAAGCTTAATTTAGTAATAAGGATTATCAAACTAGACGGTTGATCAATGATATTAGGAGACTGCTGAATAATTTAAAGGCTAAATTTTGTGCTTGTGAGGCCTGTGGCTTTCTTACAATTCTCAAAGGAATCTGAGAGCTAAAACAGCTTAAAGCTGAATGATTTAGGTGTTTCTTCCCTTTTCTTCAGGAAAACCAAGATATTTAATCATCTCTAGTTCTGTAATCCTTGGCTTATCTCTAGAATACATGATAAGAGAGGAATTTGGCAACAATTTAAGTAATCTATTACCTTTATTATTTTAGCATTCATGTATATCTAAGCTTAACTGCCAAAAAGCCTTTCAGAAATAAAAATGCAAATAGTTAAAAGAAAATTCACATATTATTTAATTCCAAATGATGTTATTGTTTTCTTACCAGTTAACAACTCTTTGGTATCATCATCAGTAGATTCACTTATTTCTGTATTGTTGCAGTCAGATAATTGATTAACTGGTTCACAGGAATGAACCATCTGCTCATCCATAACTAAGTAGAAAGAAGACAAACATGTTTGGATAATGAAAATAAAGTCCATCCTACATTAAAGATATGCATAGGAAAGTAAAACTGAAACATATCCCAAAAGATACTTTGTACTCACAACTAAACACCATTTAGAAATAAGCTTGGGAGTGATGCCTGTAAGTACCAGAGATTATGAAACTAAATAAAGTTGCTAAAATTACATATTTACCAGAATTAAAAATATGTAAGAATTTCAGGGAAATACAAGTCCAATTACAAGTTACAACATGTAAATATGTAAATGGATTTTTGAACATTAATCATATTCAAATTAATTTTAATTAATTTTTAGTCTACTACTAAAATTCTAAAAGAATCGTATATATTAATATAAAAAATTGACGTATAGGCAGAGTTTTTATATATGCTTTATAAACCAACAAACATTCAAACACTTAAGGAAATTAATGTTAAGAAGACATTTTCTATATATTCAAGTAGTTTACAGATTTGATTTTCTATAAGAATTTGATATATTCCAACTAAGTGAAAAATATTTAAAATTTTGGAAATGTTAATTAAATTATTTTTCTATTTAAGATAGTAATGTTTTAGCTTAATTTATTTCTGAGATTTTATGTTATACATCATTAATGTGCTGATCTTTATTACCAAAACAATAAACAGGACCAGTACAATTTCCTTTTAGTAGATTTATCTTCTATGGTGTCTTAAAAACATTTTTTTCAAAAAAAAAATACAATTCTTTTTTCAAGTGCGTCCAATCTGACCGTTGTGAAAACTCCCTCACACATGCAATAGCTATGCTGCCAACTTCTTCTAATGCTAATTTTGTTATTATGTACCTTTTCCGGCTTCTTCAATGACTTGTCTCACTGCTTTCTTTAAACTGTTTGCCCGCAACATTATTTCCCTGGGTTTGATGGCTCCTTGTGAGGAAGGCTTTGTAATGTCATCTGAGAGCTGGTCCTTGCATTCGCCCAGGGATTCTTCACTTGAAGATTCCACAGCATCTTCTTCTATGACGACAGGGCTGACAGCGGAGAGGACAGGATCAGGCTGGGGCTCTGTGTGCAAAACTTGTAGCAGTTGTTCAAGCTTCTCATTTAGGACTGAACACTGAGAAAACAAAAAACAGGGAAAGGAGGGAGAAATTCAAATGGAAGTAACATCAGCAGACAAGATGGAAGAATTTTTTATGTAAGATGTTTTGAATGTTTAATCACTAGAGAGAAAAACTCTAAAATTCAATTGGCTATCATCTTTTATTCTGTAGATGTTTTGATTCAAGAAGCACCTAATTTAAATTTTAGTGGAGATGGAAAATAGATCAACAGACTGTAGCCATGAATGCTTTTCTCTCCACACAATTTCCAGTCCTTTTCCTCTCCATTGTTTATCTTTGGTGACATGCTGAGACAGAGCTCTGGTACAAAGAGTTTAGAGACAAAAATATGGCTAAGAAAGGATTCCCATTTTCTGAAACCCCATAGAGTAGGGAAAGTGGCTGAATGGTTCAAATGCATGTTTAGTTCCCTTTTCTTTTCCTTCTACCCAATTAAACTACCATCTAAAGCATGAATCTGGGAGAGTGAAGTCCTTTGCAAGCCCAAGATTTCCAATCCTTTTGTAAGAAGGTCCTCTGATGAACTTATAAAAGTAAAAACAGTGGCTTTTAAGATAATTAAACTATTGTTATTTTAGCATCAGAAAGCTAATGAAGCAGGGTGGAATCTGTAAAGAGAACAAGGTCTAGTGAATCCAAAGACCTGTGCTAGGAGAGTAATGGACCAGCCAAAGTTTGCTTGGAAATAGAAAACTGTTCCTCTACCCACTGGAACACCAGTTGTGCAGCATTCTTCCCTGTGGCCTGATTGCTGTACATCACCTGGCAAGATGTCAAACACTGGGAGAGGGATTTGAACTATAAAATTTGGTTTGATGATGGTTTGTTTCCAGGATGCAGCATTACAAGGTAACCATAAATTAGAGTATTTTAAAAATCCTCACAGCCTAATAAAAGTAATTTTTCTTTAGATGTTTTGGCAAAGAAACCATGGAATCCATTTAGTTTTAAAATACAATTCAATGTTAACATTGTCAGTAAATAACTTGCATGCCCTGATGTGTCCCTCTTACTTTACTGGCCACGGCGTCCGCTACAACTGCATTTTCCAATGATCTGTCATATGCCTTCTCTACTTTGGCAACGAAGTCCTTTACGGTTTCACATAATATCCTTTGAGGAAGAGAAATTATACAATACAATCAGAAAACTTAGTAGGTTTGTAATAGAAACTGTACAATTCAGTAAGTTTACTCTGATTTATAAACACATTTAAAAAGAAGCACAATTAAGCGAATTGTCAAAATATCCAGATAATTTGTATATAAATCCATACTTCTACCTACTGTGTAGTGTTTTAAATAACTCTAAAGCCTCCTACGTGGTAAATGGATACATTAACAAACCCTGTTCTCCATAATTTAGAGTACTGTTAAGGTTAGAGCACACCTTTCTCAAATACTCAAAGAAGAGTACTTTTAGGGTGAGGGATATGGCTCAGTGGTAGAGTGCTTGCTTAGCATGTGTGAAGCCTAGGGTTTAATCCCTAGCACTGCTTTTCCCTCCCTGCCCCCTCCCCCCAAAAAAAGAAAGTACTTTTAGATCTTCTTTAAACAATGCATTATCACCCACAGCTCATGTTTTCATAATGAAAACAGTGGTGTCAAACAAACTAGCATGGTTTGTCACTTGTGTTGTTCCTGTCCATCTAAAATTCATCACATGGGTATCTTGATACCACACTTTTCCTGCAGAGAAAAGATGTTGTGTATTACGTTGCAAACCAATCTGTCACTCGAATTGAGTTATATTCTCTGTAAATCTATTCATTTTTCCCCCTTAAGATAACCAATGAAATAACATACAAGACTAATTTAATTCAGGTCTCATTAGTGTTGGCGATATATGGTTTACTTGCTTATTTTAATTACATTTGGTTTCTTTGCAATAGAAATAAACTATAAGGAAAAATAACTTGAAACACAAACAAAATCTGTCTTTCAGAAGCCTTTGGATATGGTATTGGATTAAAAACAACCACCAACAGAATGGTACATGATTAAGGTTTTTTGTTTTGTTTTGTTTTGTTTAATAAGAATTTATGCTGTTGGGAACATTATTTTAAAGCATGGTTTGCTTTCTATCATTGCTATACATTGAGGAATTTGAAGAAAATGAAAAAAAACCCAGAAGTTACTTTTTCTACTAAATTCACAATTTCTCTGTTAGGTAAGTGGCATTATAGATATTATGAAATTGACCCATTCAATGGATATAGAACACACATATATACGCCCACACGAACACACCAAATCTTCACATTTGTCATCTAGGAAATAAATACAGTATGCCTAATAATTTTTCTTTCATTTGTTGTTTTAGGGCAACCATTCCTATATTGACTTTGCTAGAAAATAATTATCTCCTAACCCCTTTAATCTGTTCGGTTGGCTTTTTCCTCCCAGTGCTGGGGATCAATTCCAGGGCCTTGTGCATATTAGACAAGCACTCTATTACTGAGCTACACCCCAGCTCCCTTGTTTGACTTTTTGAGCTCAAATTCTACAAAGAATCTAGCTTAACATTTACCAGAGATGGTTTTATGTCCTTCACATCAAATTTTTCTTCTTGATGTTTTATACTTTTATGACATTTCTTAAAATATTAAGTCAGACTATCATGATTTTCTTTTGGGGGCTTTACTGGCAATGTCTCTAAGCTGTGTTCCTTCTTGGGAGAGGAGATATTGGCATTCTCAACTCTTTTGTATAACTCCAAAATGGAGGTTTGTTTTGCCATTATTCTAACACTGTCTTGATATATAATTTCTTATGGATTTAGGAAACTGCATATGCCAGAACATTATCATTGCTACTTTTGTTGTTATTTACTAACCCCTAGGGACAAGAGCCATCAGTCCACTAATCTAGGAGTGAAAGGGGCAGCAGAGTTCTCCTTCCTCAACTGCACCACATTCCCAAGGCAGATAGTAAGCAAAAGATGATCCTGTAATCATCACAGTATGAGCCCGTGAACCTGTGCCAAGAGAGGTAAGGAAGGGGAATATGAGTGAAGGTCAGAGGCTGCTTGCCACATAAATTGTGGGAAGAATCAGAAGAAAAACTCGGTCTTATGGTCCATAAGTTCCATATTCCAGAAGAAACAGAATATTTACATTTTGAATCATAGAGTTTTTAAAATAAAATGTACAATTAAAAATAGTGTGACTTCAAGGTCCTATCAAGTAGATATTTACAAATTGAGGAAAAAGAGTTTTAAGATGTGTTTACTATAGTAATGCAAAGACACTCTTTAACTATACCCACAGTTTTCTATTTTAATACCTAAAGTTCTCTAGAAAAAGTGCAAAAATTAAATCAATGAAAATGGAACATTGATTTTCTCAAAGAACAACAAAATTTTAATCCCTGCTTTTATCTTTAATGTTAGAACTTTAGATATTTCCAACATTTTGTTTCTTTAATTTTTTTGTCATCCTTCACAGTTAACTATGCTCCAAATAGTCACTTGAGGCTAATAACAGTCTACAATGATTATGCTTAATGTTTTCCATCATTACCTCAATTCTGTTTTACAAGATGTATTGTCCTAATGAGTATCTGTGTCTTCATTTATCAGTTTTCAATTTACTTTTTAAAATAGGGGCAATGAACAATAAAATATTCAAATACTATATTAAGATAAATACGCCCATGATGCCCATATAGAATCACAGATCATAGAAAGGGACCTAAAAAATTTGTTTGTCATCTAATATAAAATGCTACAATCAGATATTAAAGGATATTTAGAAACATTAATGAATAATATCTAAAGACTCCTTGCAATCTATGTGCTTGAAGAAAGATGTTTAATAACTCTGCACCCCATCTCTTCATGCATGGAGGTTTACCTCAATTATCCTTAAAGTAGATTCCAAATCTAAATTCTACCATTCTATGACAATAGCTCCAATTCTATTGTTTTTTTTCCTGTCAGTTACCTCATTTTCTGAAAATTTCATATATAGACCAAATGCCATTCATTTTAATAATTAGGGTTAGTAGAGTTAGTCAACAAAAAACCCTAAGTAATGCCTACCTACTGTTAACGTTAGTAAAGTTTAAAAACTACTGAGAATAAAACAAAACACATTTATGTTTCAGGTAAAGATTGTTATTTAATAACTTTTCTATTTTTAATTAATAAATGGCATCGATTGTTAATTAGAGCTTCTGGTTCTAAGATAACTCCTTATACTCTACTGAATTGATAAAATCCCAGGCAAAATCAAAGAAATAATGTTTGAGGTTCACCTATATTAGTTAACCTACACCTTAGCTATATTATTGAAATGTAGCTTCTCCATTAACATTTAAATATTTTTAAATAGTAAAAATAGCTATTTTATGAAATAACTATAATCACATAAGGAAGTTATTTTCCTTAATATTTATTCACTTTTTCATTTATTCAACACATACATGGTGTTAACATAAGAAGAATATTCTTTATTTTTGTCTAGGTGGTGGTTACATAGGTGCAGATATGTGAGGAATTTCTTTGTAATCATTGAGTTGTATCTTTGTGGTTTGGGTACTCTTTATATATCAAGAGTCAATAGGATTTTTTTGTTTTTGTTTTTTATAAGCAGAAGGAACTACTGCAGATTTATTTTATTGTATTTTTTATAGCTGGGGATTAAACCCAGGGCCTCATCCATGCTAAGCAAGCACTCTACCTCTCAGCTATATCTCCAGCCCCAATTATGGGTTTTTAAAGCCTTAAAGAAACATATAAACCAAATGAAACCTGTGAACCTTGTTTGGATTTTAATTTGAAGAAACTAACTATTTAAAACATTTTGAGGGGCTAGGGCTATAGCTCAGAGGCAAAGCACTTGCTAGCACATGTGAGGCACTGGGTTTGATTATTAACACCACATAAAAATAAACAAATAGAGGCATTATGTCCATCTACAACTGAGTAATAAATATAGAGCATATAAACTGTAACTGGAGGACATGGAAGATGGATCGAGTAATATTGATGGTACTAGAGAATTATTAAATTTATTGGATTTTTAAAAAAAAGATTATATATATGTACATGTAATAAAAATAGAATAAAATTATTTCTCATATTTGCTTAAAGATACTATAGCAAAACTAGGGAGTAGATGGCAAAAATGCTGATAAACACTGAAGCTAAGTGATGGGCTTAGTGGGAAATTATCATACTTTTATGTAGTGTTTGAAAATGTCCATTAAAAAAACAAAATAAAAAATACATTGTATTAACTGGCATAATGTATTACATGTTGTCCTCTCTTTTCTCTCTTGAACTCTTTAGAGTAAATCCACCCAATTTTAATCTGGGGTTGTGACAACAGGACAGTAGCAGGCCGCTGAGCACAGAGGAGTAACAAGGAGACCAGGGTGAAAATGGAATTGTTTAAAGGTAAGAGAGCTGTTTGGAGAGAAACCCCAAACTCAGGCTAGGAGCACAGCATAAACAAAGAGCCAGACCAAGGTCTGCAACTTGTATTTGGGGTAAAAAATGGGAGTTCATAACCCACTTGAATCAAATGTATGGAAGATGATATGTCATGAGCTTTGTAATGTTTTGAACAACCAATTAAAAAAAAATTAAAAAAAAAAGAAAACATTTGAAATGTAATTAGGGAAATGAGGTGATAATACCATAATTTAGTATACTATGATACTATAATTTAGTATATTTTTAGCACTCTGTAGTTTATATGCTCTATATTTATTACTCCACTTAATTCTCCTAAGAGTTCCATGAAGGGAAAATAATAGGCATTCCTTTCCCTTCTTACACTGGTAAAAACCAGACACAGATCCCAAGGCTAGTGAATAAGTGTCAAGTAGGACACAAATTTACTCGACCCATGATTTTCAAACTGTTCTCTAAATGCTTTCAGAATTCCATAAATGAGTGTTTCAAATTTCATTTAGAAATATAGCACATAGTATTTTTAAGGCCAAACGATTATTAGAAACATGACAGACAAATAAAATGTTAACATTTACTTTAGAATCGACTAGTTTTTGTGCAACTCTTGGACTAAAAAATTTTCTGCCATTTTTATTTAATCAAAGACAATGTCCTTATAACAGTATGAGCAAATTAGGTACAGAAATAATTGAAGGGCTGGGGATGTGGCTCAAGCGGTAGCGCGCTCGTCTGGCATGCATGCAGCCCAGGTTCGATCCTCAGCACCACATACAAACAAGATGTTGTGTCCGCCGAGAACTAAAATAAACATTAAAAAAAAATTCTCTCTCTCTTTAAAAAAAAATAAATAAATAATTGAAAACTGCATCAAATATGAGATTATAACTCATCTATCACCTTATTGCTTACTCTTTCATAAATGTCTTTAATAATTTAAGCACATCCAATTAATATCAACAAAACAATTTTAATTTTTTAATACTGGAATGTTGTGTAAGATTTTATTTGAAAAAAGGTTTTCACTGATAAGAATGTTGTACTACACAGGTATTAAGATTAAGAATGATAAGAAAGAGCCAGGTGTGGTGGCACATGCCTATAATCCCAGCTGCTGAGGCTGAGGCAGGAGGATCACAAATTCAAAGCCAACCTCAGCAATTTAGCTAGGCCCTACACAACAGAGTGAGACCCTGTCTCAAAATAAAAAATAAAATGGGATGGGAATGTGATTCAGTGATTAAGCGCCTCTGGGTTCAATCCCTGGTATTAAAAAAAAAAAAAAAAAGAAGAAGAAGAAGAAGAAAGAGAAAGCAGTGGCTGCCATAATGATCATGTTTGTATATGTCCAAATTTCATGGCCTGAACTCCATTTAATTAAAAATACATAAAATGTATAGGACACAGTGATCAAACTTATCAAAACGTGAAGATCAATACAAAGGCTTTGCTAAAAGGTAGTCAGAGAAAATATTTAACTACAGTGGATTAAATAAGGAATCATTCTTTTATAATTTGTTACACCTTTTCAAAGCTTCCTTTCCAACTTGCCATCTTTTCTAGCAATGTTTTCTTAAATGTCCTATAAATAAGCATTTATTCATGAGACAAAGGTGGCAAAGTCAAATATCTATAGGGATCCAGATAGTAACAGATGTATGAATTGTGGCCAGAAAGAGAAAGGCATTAAGGAGTGTTGAGGCCTGGGACAAACTGGAAATTTACATATTTCACCATAAAGCAATACAATTTCATTAAATAACAAATAAACATAAATCAACCAGCAGTACTGCCCACCAGTCTGCAGTCCTTTTCTGCTTACAACAACCACTTGCTTCCACTCCCTTAACCCACTGAACTCTTTTTCTATTGTTCAGGGCTGTTTCCTGTTCCTGCATGAGATGTCATCAAAAGCAATTCTGACTACATTTGTACTTCTGTCACAAGTAAGTTTTCCCTAAAGATTTCTGTTCTCTTTCTTCTTCACTGCAAATGAAGTATGTGAGATACTAAAATTAGTGTATTTTTCCTTTACCTCTTTCCCACTCCCTTTCTCTCCTTCTACCCATTCTTTGTTTCCTCTCTTTCTGCATAATAGTAATGTCTGCTGCTAAGCTAGACTCTTTCAGCATTCTTTCACTTATCAGTTGAAAATTTGGGGTGGTTTCATCCCCTTCCTCTGGTCAGCCTTCCAGTTCTCATGACATCAGTATAGGATGCTTCCAAACTAAATTGTAAATTCCAGCCAGGCAGCATTTGGGATAATAACATCAAGTAGCTTTGGCTCCATGTATGCAATCAACTTAACTAAAATCTGATAACTTTGAATTAAAACATAATTATGCAATTTAAACATGCTGAGAAATGTCATTTTGAAAAATCTCATCGTTGTTTTCCTTTTACTGAGGTAAACAGTTCCTAAGCAGTAGTGTTTTTAGAAGTAAGAAGTTATAACAAAATGTGCTTTCCATGTTATAATTAATCATAATCTACCTTTAAATAGACATCAGATTGATTAACCTCTAAATACTTATTACAAGTTTTTGACAAAAAATGTATCAAATTAAGCAGCAATATATATATATATATAAATGTATTCCACTCCAAATAAAATGCTTAAGTGATTTTTTAAAAAAAATCAAATCAAATTCAGTACAGCTAATTTTGTGAATTTCATAAGATATTTTTTGAAAAGAAAAATTTTCAAAACGATATAAGCAGGAAGAAGCAGCTTTCCTTTAATTTTTACCATGTAACTATTTCATGACTCAAACTCCACAACTCACTTGGCAGATGATACAATCACCGTTTGTTCATCAGAATTGAGGATTTTTGTAAGATGAGCTGCAACGGAGTCTTCATAAATCGTCATCTGAAACAAGAAAATACCCTATGCTATATTATTATTGTTGGCATATATACAACTCCGTCATTACTGCTTCTAAAAGAGCTGTTCATGACACAAGCGAAACAGCAATTGCTACAATGAAAAAGGAGTCATGAAAAATAGATAAAAATTTCCTTTCTGTGACAGGCTTTCATCTTCTGGAATTCTTTAATGTATATTTTTAGAAGAGTCCATAAAAGGCTAGAAAGCAGGGGTGGCATGCCTATATTCCCAGTGACTCAGGAGGCTGAGGCAGGAGGATCACAAGTTCAAGACAGTCTCAAAAACTTAGTGTGACCCTGTTTTGAAATAAAAAATAAAAAGAGTTGGGGATGTAACTCAGGGGTAAAGTGCCCCTGGGGTTCAATCCCCATTACTAGGGAGCAAGTAGGAGAAAAACCCACAAAAAGCTCTTAAATTTAAAAAATATATTTTTTTTTAATATGAGAAGAATTCTTAAAAGCCAGATAACCTAATTCAAATGGGCAAAAGTAATTTAAATAGGAGAGCTACTGATGATCCATAAACAGATGGAAAGGTGTTCAACCTCATCAGCCATCCACCAAGTGCAGACTAAGACCACAACACACTACCACCACATGTCTCCTGGAAAGGAGATGAAGACAGCAACAAGTGAAAACTGCCAGATGTTGGCAGGACAGTGGAGCTACAGAACTATCATAGGCTTCTGAGGAGAGTGCACATTGATACCAACACTCCAGAAAACTATTTGGTAATATCCATGAAAGCTGAATGTACGCTGGGCATTGTGGTGCATGCCTACAAACCCAGCGGCTCAGGAGGCTGAGGCAGGAGGATCATGAGTTCAAAGCCAGCCTCAGCAAAATCGAGGCACTAAGCAACTCAGTGAGACCCTGTCTCTAAATAAAATACAAAATAGGGCTGGGGATGTGGCTCAGTGGTCGAGCGCTCCTGAGTGCAATCCCTGGTACTCCAAAAAAAAAAAAAAGCTGAATGTATGCACGATACCACAGGAATCAAGAGATTCAACTTCTACAACCAAAAAAACAAAAAACACAGGTGTGTGTTTAGCAAAAGACATGTACTAGAATTTTCATGCAGCATTCACCCAATAGTAGAGTGGATAACAAACTGTAGCATATCTGTGGAATGGGACACTGTGGAACAATGAGAGGGGAAGATGCTCAATTACCCCACAATGTGGCTGAATCTGACAAACATAATGTTGAGTGAAAGGATCCAGATACAAAAGGGAATATGCAACATGATTCTATTTTATAAAATACAAAAAAAGACGAAATGAATCTATGTTATTAGAAGCTAGGAGAGTGGTTACAGGGGGGAGGTGTGGGGTGGTAACTGAAAGAGCCGGGAGGGGAATTTGTGGGGTATTTGAATGTTGTCCTGTGATTTGAGTGCTGATTATATAAATTGGTTTAGTTTGTAAAAATGTACCAAGCTCTTTACCTATGATATGCATACTTTTCTACATGCCTGTTATGATTCAAAAAAAAAGTTTTAAAAAATGCGATCATGCAGTCGTATAGTCATGTATGTGATCAATCATGTAAACAAAGCTTTCTCTCAAATAACAACACACACACACACAAAAAATCAAAATGCCAAGTGCCCTATATCCCCTTTTCTATTTGACTCAAACTTTGACATCATGTTGAAAGAGCTCATCTTCCTGGTACATAAAAATATGCATAGTATTTAAACAATCTCACATTCACAGCCTCCCTTTAAATGTTTGCTTTAATATATTCCATAGCTCAAATTTTTTCAGTATAAACGACAGGTTCTATTCAAGCAGGCCTGATGCTGCCATACTCAGATCTTTTCATTGCTTTTCCCCAACCAGCATCAGTTTATTCAGACTTAACTGAAGATTAAGTTAATGCCTCTCCCCCTCCAAAAAAACTTCCTGACTAGCCTCTTCCCAAAGCAATGTCAGTTCTAATTTACAGTCAAGTGCACCGGTTACTCTTTTAAATTTCTATCTTAACCTACTTCAAAAGCAGGCCAAATAGAGAAAAGTTATTTTACATCAATGAAAAGGAGGAAGGGCAGGAACTTTAAATTTACACACATATTGTATTGACCGACCCACAAATCCACTTTACCAATCTCCTGATTTAAATGCCAGAAACTGCATTTTTAGAGATCAGAAAAACAGAAGTACCTCTTTTAAAACTACAAAATAAGGAAGCGCTTTTTAGAGATTAGTTTTCTCTTCCCTAATGGGTGGAAAATATTTTAAATGGCCATTAATGCCACTGACTAATGAATTAATATCAGTTGATTAATTTATTGTCATTTGACAAATGACATTTGCAATTTACATCTTAAAAAAATCCAAGTTGTTATCCATTAGAGATATTCAAAGAAAACAATGCCAACCCTTTCAGAGTAAAATAAAATAAGCTTTATGTCCAAGGATAAAATTATATGTGTCACTCATTAATCACTTAGCATTAACAGTTAACATTGTGTGTGTGTGTGTGTGTGTGTGTGTAGCAGGCATTAATGTTAAGTACTTTGTATACTTTTAGCCCTTTAACTATTCTATTTTACAGTCAAGGAACTTGATAAAAAGGTAAGCTGAGTAACCAGCCTAATACCCATAGTCAATGAATTGCTCAGGAATTCAAAAACAAAGTATTTAGCTTACTTCTATTATAGTTTTCAAGGTAAAAAAATAAAATCACAGATAATAAAGTGTTTTCTTGATGTTAGCTGGAGGGTGTTCAGGCCTTGGTCTGAGCCAGACAGAATATCCACTTAATCTGTAATATTAAAGGATGCTATCTGTTTGTTAAGAAAATCAGTTTAAAAAAAAATTAGCTGAGCTTGGTGGCACAGGGCTATAGAGTGACTTGGGAGGCCAAAGCAGGAAGATCGCAAGTTAAAGGTCAGTCTGGGCAATTTAATGAGGTCCTGTCTCAAAATAAAAAAGCACAAGGGCTAAAAAACAAAACAACAACAACAAAACAAAAAAAACCACAAGGGCTGAGGATGTAGCTCAGGGGTAGAGTATCCTCGGTTCAAACCCTAGTACTGCAAAAAAATTTTAAAAAGATGACGTTTTCAAGCCCACCTGCACAAAAAAAAAAAAAAAAAAAAAAAAAGGAAGAGATTTCCTTTATGTACTTAACACTTCATATTTAAGATATGATTACATAAAAATGATAGAAGGCAATTATCTATCTTTATTTTATATACTAGGAAACAGACATTTCTGAAGTAAGTAGAACAAAAGAATTTCCCCTTTACTTTTTTTGGAAAGAAAAGTAATAACATTTACAAAAATACTATGGAGAAAAGAATGGTTTCCATAAAAAATGTGTTTGATGGTTATAGCAGATGGAATAATATAACTAAAAATGTTCCTGGAAATGTGGTAGGACTATGAGTGACTTTTAGATTCTTTTTCATATAATTTTCTATTTAAAAATTTTTTAGATATAATGTTTTCTACTTTTATATCAGAAAATATTTTAAAAATACAATTAGCTTCTCTAAGGAATAGCCCTATTTTCCAGTTATCATCCCTTGCCCTAGTTTTGACAAGATCATAATTTTCTTAATGACAAAACAAAGGTTTCATTTGTAAAATAAACAGATAAATTTTCCTAGAGGGAAAAATAAGCTCTCGTAGATCAAATGGTCTTAATGAGTCAGAGAATAATCCTCTGAAAGTCAGGTTCTGTTTTAAATCTCTACTGCTTGGAGATTTAATCAGAATGCTGAGTCTTTTAAAATGTTGTCTAAAAAGTTCAGGCAGTTGCGGTCTTTCTGGAATGAAGTGACCTATCTTAATTCCTTGGTTTTCTCTAGATCAACAGGCTTAACCCTGTCTTTTGCTCCCTTCAAAGAAGAGGCAAAGCTTAGGATCATTATACAATATTCTGGCTACAAGTACTGGTCTGTTTGGAGATTGTTTAAGGGAGCTGGGCTAATACCCGATAATCAAACGGGTGCTCATGAACAAGGCAGAAGATGAGTGGAAGCAAGCTGGAAGCTGGCCCCTTGAGCTCTGCTGGTAAAAAGGAAGCAGGAGGTAGAATAACCAGGGAGAACTACTGAGAGCTGAGAAAGGACCTTATATTCCTGGTGCACATCACTGAATCCTCAACACTGCAGCCTCATGTCACAGTTAATGTTAATAAGGCCCACAGGGGCAAGTGACTCGGTAGGGTAAGGTCACACTCCCTATGGGGGTGGTCATGGAAGGAGTCTAACCTGGATCTTTAGGAATCTTTAATCTGAGGAAAGAACTAGAAGTAGTCAAGGAGGCAATAGTCCCCCAGATTAACATAAGATGAAGTAAGCATGCTACAGGTACCATTACGAGTAGGTTTTCTCTTTTTTCCCCAAGATGTCAACCCCCGTTTTAAATGATAAATAGGTAAAAGGTAAAGTCTTACATAAAATTCTTCAGGTGCTTCTGGAGGTCCTGGAAGTAGAGAAGCCTTTGGTGGCAATTTGAGTTCATATGTCATTATACTCCACCTGAAGGGAGAAAATCCTTTGGTCTAAAACGCCTTTAAAATTTAACAAACTGTTCTTATTTCATCATATATGTGTATTTGTGAACTTTGGCTTTATTGTATCTTAATCAAAAAAATGAGAAAGAGATATAATTTTGGTAATCTCATAAAATATTGGATTCATATTTATGATTTCAACATTTTACCATTTCTCCACAAAGTGACTTCTAAACGTTTTAAGAGCATGCCCATAGTAAGAAATGTTCAAATGTAACAAGACTTCTCATTCTTCATTAGGTGTAATGCATTGTGACTTTTTTATTCAGTTCTTTTAAAATTATGATTACTGTAAATTATTAAGTAGATTACAAGTTATTGATGTGTCGCAACCAAGAATTCCAAAACAATGTCCTAGATTAAATAAATGTATACCACCTATGAAAAACACAGTATATGTACCGACCATTCTTGCCCAAGCAACTTACACATACATACGTGAAACAAAATAGGTGAACTCCTAATTTAAGAAAGAATAAATTTAAGCATAGGATTGAGGGAGAAATGTTAATAGAAATGATACTTAATTCAAACAAATTTATTTCAACTAACTATTAATATTAATTTCAAAGCAAACATTGAATCATTGGTATTAGAGAAAATCAATCAACTTAGGATAATTCAAGCCTTCTAACTAAAATAATAATTTCCAAAACTGAAAAGAAATATTGGGTCATGGCATTATTGTAGACTACAAAATGTAAGATGAAGATTTTACACAGAAACAAAGCATTATAAAAATAGTGGTAAAATATATGACTTTTAAGAAAAATTGAATCCAATGATACAACTTAGAGGCAAATCCCAAGGTCAGTATTTAAACTGAGCTTGGTGTATCATTCAGACTAATGAGAATAAATCTTTGCATAAAAACCCAAATTCCCAGGAATTCCCCCAATAAACATTTATTATGTGTTAGGATATATAAACTGAGTAGTTGTTTGAAGCTACTATTCTACTCTTAACATGAAAATATTATGAAGAAATGTATATTTGAGTGCTGAAAGCCATTCATTCATTCATATAACCGTCTACCCATTCATTTGTGCAACAGATATATATTGAACATCTCAAAGTAACAGGGTCTAAAAACACAAGAGTGAAGAATGCTTTCCTAATGTATATTCTACTTCAGAAAACAGGGATAGTATAAGTAAACAAAACAATTAAATTTGCAAGTATCTAACAGAGAAAACCACAATTGGAAACATAAAAGTCAAGTTCTGTATAGCTGGAAATACTTCTCTGGTCAAAAGAGCAATTAAAAAAAAGGGAAAGAAACCCATCCAATGTCTACATCTTCCATGCCGTACCTTCCTCCTACATAAGAAATGGTTGGAGCTGAAGAAGCAGGAGAAAGTGGCGGCAAGAGAGGAAAGAGTCAGGCAGAAGTAACAGCTAGCAGAGTCAGAGGCCAGAAAGCTAGAACTTCTCTGCTGACTATATGTTTAAGGACAGAAGAGTGCAATGTTGAAGAAAGACCCTAGGAACTACTGACGGAACTCTAAACTGCAAGTTTTAGTACTTTCTAGCTACGCAATTTTGATCATGTAAAAACCTTCGTTTTACCAGGAAAATGGAGATGACAATATTGGTTCTCTTTAGGAGCAGTGATGATTGAGGAGTAAAATGATTGGCAGTGCCAGGCAGACAGAAAATACTAGTTATTTTTATTCCCATTGTCTGCAGAAGCCTCAATTTTACATTTTAATAAAATAGTCATCATAATGCTTCCCTAATCCATCCTATAAATTTATAATTGGAGCGAATAGATACATATGATTTGGAATACTAAACAGTGATTTTTTTTCTTTACATCTTTGCAAATAGTAAATTAGGGGAAAAAGGGAACAAAATATTCTTTTGTTTCTAGCAATAACATTGGATTCCATTTTTCTTATTTCCTAGGTTTTTGAGTCTCTTTTGATTTTTATTTTTTCCTTGTGTTTTCCCCAGGCTTGTTGGTATGAAGCAGGAGTTTCACTATAAAGATGCTATTTCTCAGCTAATTAAAAAGTGAATTTCTAGAATACCATGGAAAAGCACATATCCAGGGTAGAGGAAACACCCAATAACACTTCCTAGGATGCAACAGGAAGCAGTGCTCTTCAAATCTTTAACGAAGAAAGTATTTAAAATACTTCATGTTGTTTGGAAAGCACAGAATCAGACAGTTGTTCAGTAAATCACCTCCAAGCTCTTTTATAAATAATGGTGATTTTATTTATTTATTTATTTCCAATTCCCCCCAGGTATAACCAATAAAAACTATATGTATATATATTTAAGGTGTACAATTTGATATTTTGATTTATACATCAAGCCAATTAACTTTTCCATCTCCTCACGTGGTTCCTATTATTATTTTTTTTAAAGAAAACCTCTAAGCTTTTTTAAGAATTGGAAACTGAATCCAGCTTCACCCTAGACTATGCAGTCAAACTATAGGAGTGTTTCTCATACAATTTTGGATAATATAGACAAATATTCTATTGTGCAGCTCTCTTTTCAAACAGTCTGTCAGCAAAAGAATCATGCATTACAGTATTACCTTATGACAGACAAGGTTACAATTAATTTGGTTACAGCTCATCTTAGAGTAATTACATTTTAGATTGGTGGCTCCCTGATGAGATTTGTTATTTTCGGGACGACTTCCACAGATGGCTAATCCTATCAATGTTGTTTTGAGTCATGCTACCTCACGTCTATAATGATATTTTGACATTTGTCTTCTACTCATGGGGGTGGGGTAATTGCTGCTTACTAAATCCTGTTATTCCCTATACCCAAATTCTAAACACCTCCTGCACACCACTCAGCTACATACTGTGATTTCTGTTTTACATGTGGTCTACTCAGAGAGAAAGTGGGTATGGGATATGAGCAGGGACAGCATAAATATAGTGATAAGCCCTTCATTCAAAGCTGTCTTCCTAACACTTCCCTGTTCCGGGGACAGGATGCTTTATCTTTTTTAAAAATTCAGTTCCTTGTTGGAACAATTTGTTTGTAATGTGTATAATTAAGAAGAGATATTCTAACAAACAAAAAGTTTGTCTTTGCTTTTCTGAAGTCACATAATGATGGGGGTCCTACTTTTCATACTCACCAACCCCCCACTACACACCAAATTAACTATTTTATTTATCCTACTTGAACAGTTATTAAAAGTAGTTATCATCCTATGTATCAATCTACTCTTTAGAACAATGGATTCATTGGAATGCGAGAAGAGGTGTTTCCCCTCAGTTTTACAAAAAATTCATTCATTCAGAAAATATCTTAATTGAGTGTCTACTCTGTTCAGGTCTGGTTCTCAATCTCAGGGAGCAAATGGTCGACAAGTCCAGGAAATCTCTGCCTTCATGGGTGTATAGTCAGTAAAATTTAAATTATCAAAAAGTGATTTCTGTATGCCATTTTCAGTCTAAGATTAGTAGAGAATTTTCTCTTACCTGTCTAGCATTTTGGTACTGGCTCGTTCCAGCTTCTCTAGTATCTGAGGAAGTTGAGTGTCATCGTCATATGAACCTCCCCAGCCAAGAACTCGAGCCAGGTCATTGCCTGTTCCCAAGGGTAATACTCCCAGCTGACACTACGAGAGAGTGCAAGAGTGAGACTTTCAGAAAAGTTGAGAAATAAGGACCATTACATTTCTGCACCTCTCTGGAAAATAATGTTAGTATACATTCACGTCAACCAGCAAGGAAAAGAATTAGCACTTGCCTGTTTATTCAAGTTGAGCTTATCGATTTCTGACAAAACCCAACCTACACTTCCATCTCCTCCGCAGACAAGAATCCGGAAATTGTCAAACTTCTGAAATAATCTTAAACTAAAAGTAAAAATTATTTCATTTTAGTAAAAATAAATAAAAATCACTTTTTCTAATTATTTGTCATTTCTTGCATGCATTGGTATTCAAGTTCAGATAAAATATAAAAACTCGTATTTATCTACTAATTATACTATAAAAATTATTTTGAGTACAATTTTTAATTCAAGAAAATCTCTGAATCAAAAGAATGAAAGGGAATTACAAGCAGGAATGGAGGAAAAAGGAGCAAGAAATAAGGAAACAAAATCGAAGCAGAACCAGGAAAGAATTACAGGTAAACATGAAATTGTGAAAGTGGTGGCTTTTCTATTTTAACAAGAAGGATATATTATATCCTTAAGAATTATAAACCAGGGGAAATTGAGGATGGGATGCCAGTAAGTGGCACCGAAGCAATTCTTAAAGACACTTAGCAAACCTTGCCAACATGTGGCCATAAGTACAGTCAGCCCACCTTTTCTCCTCTCCTCTTAGTCTCAGGCCAATTCTTTCACTTCTATCTCCCTTCATCTCAACTTTTTTTTCCATTTGTGTGTGTGTGTGTGTGAGTGTGTGTGTGTGTGTCTGTCTGTCTGTAGATGGACAGAATGCCTTTATTTTATTTGTTTATTTATACGTGGTGCTGAGGATCAAACCCAGTGCCTCACACATGCTAGGCAAGCGCTCTGCCACTGAGCCACAACCCCAGCCTTTATATCAACTTTCCACACATTTCACCTCCTGAATGTACCTTTGTAAAACTCAAGTATAATGGGAAATCTGGAAAATATATCATAAGAACAACCCCAGGAAACTTCACAAAGAGAGATCCTTGGGGGCTTAAAGGATAAATGGGAAAAATAAATATCACGAGTATAAGAGAGCAGATGGAGCAGCAGTTTGGTGGTAGTAGACATGCTTCAAATGTATGAGGCCCTGGGCTCAATCCCTAGCACCAAAAATAAATATACACCTATACAAATTCCTAAATTAATTAATTAACAGAAGTATGGAGAGTTATAAAAAAACAGACATGTCAGAAAAGAGAATGAAATTATCAAAGAACAGAAGACACAAAGAAGGTGAGAGGACATCTGAGAAAATGCTGGGATCCAATCAGGGGCAAGAGAGAGATGTACAGTTAGGGAAGGGGTAGGGTATAAATGAAGACAACTAGTGTCCGTGTAGAACAGAGGACCTGAGACTCAGAAAGAGAAAGGCAGTGCAAAAAGGACAGAAGACCTTGAAGGGACAAAAGTGACAAGAGACACAAAGAGAAACAGGAGAGAAACAGAGAAGACAGAGGAAAGTGTCAGTTTATATATGAGTGCTTCTCAGGCACTGGTATCTAAAATCCCAATTTCTGGCCTTGGGATCTAGCTTAATAGTAGAGTACTTGCCTAGTATGTACAAGGCCTTGGGTTCAATACCCAGGACTGCAGTAAAATAAAATAAAATTCCCATTGCTACTTCTGTGTTCATACTTAAAGGTCACAGGGAAATCCTCAGGAAAAGCTAAGTAACCTTTGCAAATCACATAGAGATTAAAGATCCCTCCATCAGAAGATACAGCATCCTCTTTAAGAAAAATTATATGCAAACACTGAAAATGTGTCTCAAGGCACATCGCCCCTCAGTAAAAATACTATTTAATTTTTTTCAGATTTTAAGTTACATAACATACTAGAAAACTGGGAGGTGGGGGGGAGTCAGCCAAAGTATTTTGTTGTCATTTATGTGAAAGTCAAATTCTTTTTTTAAAAAATATTTTTAGTTGTAGATGAACACAATATATTTATTTTTGTTGATTTAGTTTTTTTATGTGGTTGTAGGGATTGAACCCAGTACCTCATTCATGCTAGGCAAGCACTCTACCACTGAGCCACAACCCTAGCCCCTAAGTCAAATTCTTGAGGAACTGTCCTTGAGATCCATGATAACATCTGTAACTTGGTGAAATCACTGATTATGTACATTATATATAAATTAATACTAGCCTTCCTTGAAAATAATTTTTCTAATATTAGCTTTTATTTTATATTTATGGAAATTGATCCTTCTTGGAGCTAAACCAATTGATAGTAGTGTTTGATATAAAATATATATAAAAATTTTTCTTAATAAATTTGAAATTTGGAAATTTTGGTAAAAAATAGGGAATTTATACAAGAGATTTATGTAACTGTCAAAAAGCTTATATTAAAACTTTAAATAATGAAAGCTTTAAACAAGGGAGAAGGAGGGAAGACCAACATAGGAGATCAAGTGGAATCAATAATTTTCATGAGATGAAAAGCCAGGCACATTTCATGCCTAGTACTATATTTCATTCAAATAATATTTATCAATAACGAATTACCCCAAATGAGGACCTCCGTTCATTAAATCAAACACCTGAGCCGGATTTAGCAATTGTTTAAAACGACGAAGAAACTTGACTCCCTGATTATCTCCACTCTTAGAATTGACAAAAACCAATAAAGGACTAACACAGAATGAAAATGTTGCTCTACAGAAACCTGTAAAAAAAAAAATACACATATAGCATAAGATCAATATGTATTATTTTCCTTTTTAAATTATACTGAACATTCACAGAAAGGAAGATAAATTCATAAAAATAAAAAATCTTGCTTATTACTAGAACATTCAGGTATAATGTAGACTCACAAGTGGAGGTTTACTATTTAAATACTAAGAATATAGGACTTCTCATTTAAAAATATGTTCTATAATGAAAAATGATAATAAAGACAAGAAAAGTATTAACCACAGATAATTTGAGATATACCATCTGTCTTAACAATATAATTATAAGAAAAACTAAGCAAAGTCCATAAATTCACATTTGTAAAGAATTCATATGATCATTTTTACTATTTTAAAATGATTTAACTGTTCTTTGATAAGATCTGAGAAAATATTAAAATTTATAATAAATAAAAGAACCTAGATATGTCAGAGATGGAGGAGGCAATCAATAGCACAAGTTTTAAAAATCATATTATTTAAGCTTTATATCTTTATATCTAAAATATTTATTGGCTTAATTTACTTAAAATTTCAGAAGGCATAAAGCACATTATAAATGCCAGACATTAACAACAGTACATAGTAAAAGCCTTTTATAATGTAACTTGCTTAGAAGGAAGTTATTAGTATGCTATCCTAAAACCAGTGTTGTGAAAAGTTTCCTCAGCACTTACAATTAAGTTGTAAGATTCTGGAAAAAGTGAATGCATTTATAGGATATAAATTTCTGCAATGAAATTATAAGAAAACAAATTTTAATAACAGCCATGCTAATGAGCAATTTCAATTATGGTGGAAAAACCACTTATAAAAATTAGCCTGTTCAGATTATGCTTCAGTACAGGATAATGATCTTATTTTATTTACTTAAATGTAAAATCTAAAAGTCTCATACATGGTAATTTTACCAATAAGCTAATAGCTACGTTACAACTTTCATTTTAAAAGATTCTTTTACAAATTAAATATGCCATTCAGAAATTTAAATGGAATTATTATGTAAAAATTGACCAAAATAACCAACTTAAGTTCTATTTATTCTAGAAAAACAAATGTACATATAAATATTAAATATACCAGAAATACACATACTCACACTACTATTACATACCATCAGAATCAGTGCTATTTAGTGCAATTGGAGGTATGATAGATACTTTGCATTGGCCAAGTGGACATACAGGAAAATAATAATCTTTGCAGGCAGTATGTACCTAATGATAAACAAATAAAACTTTGGGAATCATAAAAACAAAGCACTTTTCTATGTCATAAATTACATCTACAGAAATGATCATTTAGGATCAACATCATCACAAAATATTCAGTAATTCGCAAGTTACTTTAATGGCACAGTATTTATATTTCTTAAGGAATAGACCAAGCATCTTAGTGATGGGAATATAATTTTGGTCCATGTGGCCTATTTCTGTGATGGTCTCAAACAAGGGATATGGCCAATGAATGCTGAAGGCAAGGAGAGAGTAAGAAAAGGGAGGGAATGCAGAGGGAGAAAGGGAAGGAGGAAATGAAAAAGGGAAGAGAGGGAGAAAGGAGGAAAGAGTTCCAGTATGTCAATATTATGCCCATAAAACAAATCGATGACCTCTACCATATAAAAATTCTTACAGACTTAATGAAAATGAAACCAGCCATGTGCCTGCTCTTCCTCCCGTGCTCCTACAACTTTCTATTCGCATTTCTTTTATCATGTGTTAAAATTATCATCACTATCAGCACATCCATGCCTACTTTCTCAGCTGGACTGCTAGCTAGATCTGCAAGGAAAAGGGAGAGGGATTCACATCACAAGCCTGTGGTAAATGCTCGCTGAAGAAACAAAGTTTCAAGGTCAGTCAAGATACTACTGAGAACAAAGCAGGCTAACTTAACAAGTAGGAGCCAGGCCACTTAGAATACTTTGTGTATTTAACCTAGGGACCCTTTAAAATATTTTGGCAGATGCTTCATAAACCATTTATTGAATGGGGCTTTATATCATTAGTGCTTTAAGAAAACTGGCACACTGACTAAACCTCTATGAACACTCTTGAGAAATAAGTGAGATTTAATAGCAGTTTTTAGCAAATTTAATAGCAACTGTTTTGGGACAGTTGATTAGGATTTATAATAATTAACAACCAAAATGCATTCTATAAAAACTAGTATACATGGATAGTTGTAAAGGAATATAAAAATACATGAGAATCATGGAGCAAAACGGGAAGCTATTAATAATAATCTAAGTGAGAAAAGCAGGAGATAAAGTTGTATATTCACTGATTTTAAAATTATGACTTAAATCTTCAGGGTTATGGAACTATGGGCTTTGGGACTTGGCATGGTTTTGGGTTTTTTTTGCTTTGTTTTGTTCGCTTGTTTTCCCTACCTGATTATGTTTTCAGCCCTAGATAGCCTGCTGTTAGAAATTCACATTCTAGGGGCTGGGTTGTAGCTCGGTGGTAGAGCACTTGCCTAGCACATGTGAGACATTGGGTTCCATCCTCAGCATCACATAAAAATAAATAAAGGTATTGTGTCCATCTATAACTAAAAAATAGTTTTTTAAAAAAGAAAGAAATTCATATTTTACAGGTAAAGAAAAATATAAACAGATAAATGATAGTGCACAAGAAATTCGAGGCTAAGAGAGGCACTACAGAGGTGATGGTGCCAGAAACCAACAGGTGTAACTTACCCAGGGTGGGGCAGGAAAAAAGAAGAAAAAGACACTCTAGAATGGTTCCATTCCAGAATGGTCCCCATGCACCCCATTTAAAATTGCTATTAAATTTCAGTTGTTTTCCCAAGATAATGTTGCTCTTCTATTTGTGAAACTTTTTAAAGTTGGGGATGAGTAGAAGGAACAAGAATGAAACCTAATTAACTCCTACCATGAAGTAGGAAATTACTGACCAAATAAAAGTAAAGACATATATTCTGCAGGTAAAGACAATTTACACAAAACCCTTCTAAAATGATTCATCACACATGAGATGTGTTAGCAGGAAATACTATCAGTGATCATTCCCCCCAAAATAAATCTTATGTGGAATGATGATTTTAAATCTTTTTTATGGGTAGCACTCCTTTAAAATAAGGATGGCATAAGAGGGTCTTAGGGGGTCAGGGCTGTACTCTCTGAGAGTCCACAGAAAGGGACCCATCACAGTCTGTACGTTATATGAGAGTGAAGTAAGCGAAGTAAAAAAACAAAAATAAGCCTGTGGGCTGGGGATATAGCTCAATTGGTAGAGTGCTTGCTTTGCACGCATAAGGCCCTGGGTTCGGTCCCCAGCACACACACACACACACACACACACACAAGCCTGTGGCTAATTAAAGAGGCAACTGATGAAAAATAACAAAAGGAAATGAGGACAAAGGAAATCTTAGTTGGTTTAAAAATTAAGAGGAATCACAGATTGCCTATGAGCCTGACTAAAAAGTCATAGGACTTTTTTTCCTCTGGGGCCAATGGAGTCAATCTCATAGGAAACCAGCACATATTATCACATCTTATGCTGATCTACACCAGACTTCCCAAAAGCAATGGATTTTCCACACTATAAAATTTGGGTCCAACTTCCAAATTTGGACCAGCAAGTTTTTTAAAAGACCATAAGAAGCAAATCACCAACAAATGAGTTAGCCCCAACACAAGGGACTATCATCCTGGGACAGCAGCACCCAGGGGTGAGAGAAGCATGCCCAGCTGTGGCTTCATGGTCCTGTGGTCTTTGAGCCCTATGCCGCTGTCGGCATGACTTCTCTTCTCTATGAATGTCCTCATTCAGTCCAGGAGCCCTGACTGTATGATATCTGGCATAAATGAGACTGTTCTTTGCTGATGATTCACACGATGCTGGGTGAACTTTTTACTTCTTTCCTGCACATGCAGAGAAGTTTAAAGCTATTTATTATATGACCTAAATTTATATCATTTAAATTACATCAGTGCATAGCCCATTGAACTTGGCATTCTGTCTTTCAGAGGACACACATGGTACTGCAGCAAAATCACACTTTGTATGTTAACCCAAATCTGGCAGCACAGAAAAGGACTTTCTGTGTGCACCTGGTTATAACACAGAAAACAGCAGATCACTGTGCAGTGGAAGCAAAATGGAAAACAATAGATCTGCAGGAAAGAGATTCTGAGACATAGGAAATATATGAATAAGAGAAAATATTACAAATGGGGCATTTGAAAAATGACCAGGAATGGGGTTAGGGGGTGGAAAATATGGAACTGGAAGGAAAACACTATTTAACAAGCCATGAATGCCACAATGGGCTATGCTGTCAGGCTCTGCCATGAAGGTCTTTGCTTTGCTTCTGAACCACACAGATGTCCACGGTAAGCAAATAAGACAGTGAAAAGGTATGAAATGTTTGCAAATCCTCACCATTGTTTTACACCAAAGACATTTCCAATCCTGTAGACGGAGAACACTGCCACACGTTTTGTCACAGACAGCACACTTGGCACTCACGGGCAAGTTGCCCTCAAGCCATTGGTGAGGCATAGCGAGCTGTGGGGCAGGAAGAAAGGGCAACCAAAAGTGAAGACTGTGGAGAACACTGTTCTTACCCTTGGGAAGGTACTGAACGATTTCTTACTCTATGGAGTCAATAACAGGCATCCTGCATGGCACTCATGTATCCCAGATTTATTGAGCATCTATTATGACTAAACCCTGTAGGGAGACAAAGTAAATAAGACGAAAGGCCTGCCGCTTTGGGATTCAGGTGCAAGTCTAGCTGAGGAGAAAAGACAAAGGGTCATGATACATGGCCCACTAAAGGCTGTCAGAGATTCACCTATGCGGTGCAATGCAGGAGATGTTTTTTAAGGGAGGGGTACTGCAAAGAGGAAACCCCAGAGTCTGCAGAACAAACCTCCTCTAAACCTTATAGATCACAGAGTGTGACCTTCTGTTACACCAGCCAGGTCCAGCAGTCATTCCTTAGCCCTAATCTTAACAGAGTTCCCTCAAAATCCAAGAGCGAGGGAAAGCTATAAAGCAATGAATTAAAAATAAAAACTCACAATCAACTAAAACCTATTTCATCCTGATAATTAAACACTCCCACTTAAACTATTAGTATTTCCCCCAAGAGCAGAAAATAAGAGAGGAGGCACCAGGAAGAGACCAAGGGCAGACAGCCGCTTACTCCGTCTTCGTCCTCTATGATGTCCTTTCCAATGGAGGCCAGGGTTGTCCATTTACAGTTATTAGTTGCCCTCACTGCACATCTTTTGTGAGCCTTGAATTTACACACTAAAAAGGAAAAGAAAATAAGTTAACCATTTTAAAGTACTTTTGCACCAGCACTAAAAGTCATCTTAGCATGAAATTTTTAAAAGGGGTAGAAAGGAGAGAAAAAGAAAACAAAGATTTTTAAAAATTTAAACTAATCTCGAATGATACTAATTGTATTCTAAAAAACTAATACAGACTTGCATTTATGAATCACATATAGAGTTACACATAGATTGCTACATGGATAAACAAAAATGAAATAAATAGAAAATAATTAGTTCTTGAGAAGGGAGACTGACACACACACATGCACAAGCAAATAAAATTCAGTAACAAGGATACTGATTACATCCTATTTCTTATTCGGAGTTCTAATTATATGAATGTATTTAAGAAAATTAATTGAGATGCACATTTCTGATATTTGCATTGTTCTGTGTACCTAATATATTTACTTATATTAATAGGTTTGAAAACATCAATAAGATCAAGAAAATTCAGAGGAGTTTTAAAATGCAAGTACAAGACAGGTGTGGTGGCACATGCCTGGAATCCCAGCAACTCAGGAGGCTGAAGCCGGAGGACCCCAACTTCAAGGCCAGCCTCAGCAACATAGTGAGACCCCATCTTGAAATTAAAAAAATAAACAAAAAAAGAACTGGGGGGGGGTGGATGTGACTCAGTAGTAAAACATCCCTAAGTTCAATCCTTAGCGCGCACACACACACACACAAAAAAAAAAAATTGTAAGTACATCATGAAAATAAGAAGTCATCATGGGAAATAGGCTGAGAGGGTCATAAGATGTCACCATCTTTTAAAAATATTATGTTGGGATGACTATATTATAAATGTAGGAGAAAGGAATGATAAAATAATGTCACCACTACTCTTCATTAATTCTTCCCAGCTATATTATCATAAAGAAGTTTATAAAAGAAAATTAAGATAAAACAACTAGGAAAGAAGCAGCACATATTTGGTAAAACAAGTAAACCACAGGTTATTTGAAAAATGTGTTTGTGAAAATTGGAACTTGACTACTACAAAACACATTTATCTTTCCAGTAATACAAATTATCCAAGCACGTGTAGATGCCGATGGTATAACAGTTCCTAAGTTTTCAGATAACTAGTTAAAAGTAGAGATCATTTCAGTGGAAATTAATAAGGTGGCGGCCGCTAAATTTAAATGTAAGATGGCTTTTTCTCATATGATTTTTTCTTCACTTTCTATCAATCGTTAAACATTTGTAAATGTGTTACATACTACTTATTATCTTTGAACTGTCCTAATTTGATGTACATTGAAATGAAAGGTCCGGATAAAATACCCAAGATGTCTGTTATCAAATGTTCAACATGGAGCTGGGGTTATGGCTCAGAGGCAGAGTGCTCACCTAGCCCATGCAAGGCCCTGGGTTCAATTCTCAGCACCACATTTAAAAAATAAATAAATAAAATAAAGATATTGTGTCCAACTACAACTAAACAATAAATATTTTAAAACATGTTCAATGTGATTCAGGCTTCAACAAGCCAATATATAAATGGCTACTTACTGATCTGTTCTTGAAAAACACTGGTCTACACATATTGGAGATGTTTCACTTACCTCCTCTTTTGTATACCCTGAAAAATTCTTTTTGGCAATAATACTATTATTGTTATAAGCGACTTCATATAGAATGCAATAATCTTTCAATTAAATTTTGTTGCTGATAGTAAGGGTGAAGACACAGAACCATAGGCAGTAACTACTTTGAACTAATTGTTTAGTACCTCCAGGTCTTTTCATCTGTAAGACTATTTCCCCAAAATGGGGTTCTAGCCAAGTGCAGCAGTACCCTCCTATCATCAATCCCTGCTATTTGGGAGCCTTCGGCAAGAGGATCAGAAGTCTTAGGTCAGCCTACGCAACTTAGTAAGACCTTGTCTCAAAATTTAAAAAAATAAAACAAAATAAAGTGAGGTCCTAAAATGGTCTATACCAGAGTCCTCAGGGTGCTTTATAAGCAAAAAACAGCACTTGATATTAATAGTCAATGCTTGCTTTTCAAGCAGGGAAAAGAAGAACATAAAAGAGAGTAATGGTACAATTTCATGGCTTTTTAAAATTTTTGCCATTAAAAATCAAGCAGTGGGGCTGAGGATGTGGCTCAAGTGGTAGCGCGCTCGCCTGGCATGCGCGGGGCACTGGGTTTGATCCTCAGCACCACATAAAAATAAAATAAAGATGTGGTGTCCACCGAAAACTAAAAAATAAATATTAAAAAAATTCTCTCTCTCTCTCTCTCTAAGAAAAATCAAGCAGTTCATTAAAAATAAAAATCAATGCCTGCCTTACACATGTGAGGCACTGGGTTCAATCCTCAGCACCACATAAAAATAAAATTGTGTCCATCTACAATTAAAAAACAATAAAAATCACACTTTTTATAATAACTGTTTCATACACTGAGCCTTGAGAATGACAAAGTTGCTTAATATAACATAGAACAATAGTAATAAACAAACCAGACTGTTGTTATGGTCACTAAGAAATGGAAATAATTAATGGGCACCTTAACTTTGTTAGGTGACAATTACATTTCTCCAAATTATTCTAGAATAAAGCACTTTCCCCTGACCTATAAAGCCATTCTTTAAAACCACAGAACTTAATAAATACACTGTCAGGTGGCAAAATTATTTTTACCGTAATATTTCATCTTTATCACACTGAATCTTTGTGGTAAACAATAGTTAAGATGAAATTTCATAAGTAGCCATGTTGACATATTTGATACTGTTGACTGAAAAGAAAATGACTGTTTAATATTTTTGGCCAAGTTACTATTGAAGTAACTATGAAGGACAATTATATTCTAAAATGATAATTTACACTCTCAAATAACTTCAGATTTTTTAATGAAAATTATTTACTGTCTTCCATTTTTCATTCATATAGTATTTTACATGTGCAAGACTTTCAAACAATAAGTTTACTTATAATTCAATACAAGTCTAGAAGACAAATCAGTAGTCTCATTTTATGATGAAAAACAAGAACCTAAAGGTCAAGTGAATTTATTGATGGCTTCATACACCAAAAGCTGAATTTCACTCTAATACAAAGTTGTTAATCTTCACTATTAAACGAATTTTTATTGTATTTGCATCTCCATTATAACCTGTAAAGCCTGTTTATCCCTATGTTTTTAGGTTTAATATGTAAGTAGTATATTCACATTTAATGGGAGGAGGGGGTCTCAAAAGTTTAACTTTGAATATGCTAAAATATCCAGGATGGCCATATTCTCATAGAATAAAACATCTGGGATTTTGAAAGCTTCTCCTACGATTCTAAAAATATGAATAGACAAAATACTGCAGATTTAAATTTTTACCAGCAGAGAAAACGAATATTAATGCATAATCTTTTGAAGAAATTTTTAATCCAATAATTGAGACTTTTTTTACTGGTTCTCTTTAGTTATAGCTGACAGTAGAATCCATTTTGACATAATTATATAAGCATGGAAGACTTTTTTTTAAAAGGGTAGAAAGAGTGTGTCTTTTATAGAAGGATATAACAAATGTATTTAAAGACTTTAAAGTTTCTTATTCTCACCAACTGAAGTAATTTTCATTTTCTTTTAAAATGCTTAGAAAAATGTTCAATCATTCCATTATTGACTCAATTACTAAATAATCAATATGGGGTATCACAGAGTATCTTAAACCTGGTTATCGTTTTTAAGCCATTTGGGGAATAGAAACTTTCAGGTAACAGTTAAAGGATCTTCAAAACAGCACCACATAATATTACAGACCTAGTATGAGTTATTCAGACCCACATAAACCCTTCTGTATTAGTAAAGACAGAAAGGCCTATTATATCTTTGTCTGAAATTCTTTAAATCTAAAGAATAAAGTTTAATGGCTTCTCCAAATTTTCACCTTCATGAACTTGAATGTGTCAGTCCTCTGATCCAATCTGGAACTACTTACTGGATCAATTCCTTATAGAGCACAGTGACAATTTCCTATGATGTATTTAATCAGAAAAGCAGTTTGCATGCATTCCCTCATTTAATCTTCACAGTGCTGAGGTATAAATGACTATTATCCCCATTTGACAGATGAGAACAATCTAACTGTGTTAAACTACTTCTGGTAACAGTTTGTAATGGTGGCTGTGGGAGGGGGTTTAATGGCTGAGCTCTATTCCTTACCATTATGTGTGTATTGCTATGCATCGTAGTAAATGGCTGAAACAAGAGTTATTGATATTTTTTAATATTTATTTATTTTAGTTGTAGTTGGACACAATATCTTTATTTTAATTATTTTATATGTGGGGCTGAGGATCAAACCCAGGGCCTCGCACGTGCTAGGCAAGCACTCTACCGCTGAGCCACCACCCAGCCCAAGAGTTATTGATCTTATTTATTTATTGTTAATCATAAATTTAACATCAATTAAAACTGTGGCTCTGTCATTATTTTATTATTTAATCATAATTAGCTATATTCAAAATTATCTGTGATAGTGTCTTATCAGAGAAAAACACTAGTATTGGCATTAGATATATTTCAAAAAGCAGTATAACACTTTTCATACCTCATCACTGAATTATGAAATTAAATCAGTCTAAAGATGTTATCAGTTCTCTCTTGGTAATGACTAAAATACTTGTTTCTGGTAATTGCTGTACTTAAATTAAAAATACTTCACATACTGCACTTGCCTAGCATGTGCGAAGCCCTGGTTCAATCCCCTGGCTCTGCAAACAACAATACCAAAAAGAGAACCTCACTAATCCTGTAATGAAAACAGTGGCATAGTCCTTATTTTTAGAAAACTTTAAAGAAGTTTAAAAAGATGACACAAACTACATGTATAAAGACATGTATTGGTGTGAACACACTTTATATACAAAGATATGAAAAATTGTGCTTTATATGTGTAATAAGAATTGTAATGCATCCCACTGTCGTGTATTTAAAAAATAAAATCAATTAAATTAAAAAAAAAATAACATCGGGGTAACTGATGTAACTCAGAGGTAGAATGCTCACCTAGCATGCATGTGGCCCTGGGTTCAATCCCCAGCACCGCAAACATTAATCAATAAGTTAACTGAAAAATTAATTAACTAATAAAAAATTAATTCCTAATAAATAACTTTAAAAATGTTTCATGGTACAGCACTTGCTTAACAATGCATGAAACCCTGGGTTCAATCCCTATTACTACAAATTTTTAAAAAAGTTTCAAGTAAGGCAATACTACTAACAATCAGGAATTCTGTCAAAGAATATATATTGTCCTGACAAAACGTTTTGTTTCATAATCAGAATTAAGAACACTAGAATGTTATACAAAGCTATGTTTTTAGATTCTAGTTCCTAGATTCTTAAGAGTGAAATGCTATATTTTGATTTATGTTTCCTTTCAGACAATATTATGTTATCTTTTCCAGAGCAAGAATATTTCCCAAATTAGTACTATGAGTACAATGCTCAAGATTAAACTACAACCAACCTTAAACACTGTATTCCAGCTTAGATCTCCCCAGCTACAGCTTTCCCAGTGTGGTGTGTCTACTGTACCTTTACAATTGGGAGAGGACTGGGCTCAATGCTACAGTACCTTCACAGGACAGGCCATGGGAGGTAACTCCAGAAAGACTTTCTCTGCATACGTTACAGAAGGTGGGGCGGGCATGGGAGCAGGCGTACCAGTTATGCATCCCTGAGAAATGTTCCACGTTAAACTGGGCCACCTAGAAATGAGACATTTGAACAGATTTGCCAAATAAGAGAACAAGACTGCAGACACTGGACTACTTGGAAATGTACATACTGTAGTTCTGATCAAAATTTCAAATCTGTCACTTTTAACACTAAAGCACATTGCTTTAAGTTTAAAAAAAAATCTGGCTTAAACAAGTTGCACAGCATAGCTTTAGCTCTTTAGTTAACATTCATGCTCTAAGAACACAAAATATCAGGGATGTGCTATTTTACCTCATAAGACTCTCTGGTTTGTACAGACTTCAGGGAACTGATCCAATCCTCCATCTCTTTTCTGTTCTCGGCACATAGCATTAGCCTTCTGAATGGAGTAATTATCTGAAAGGGATAATTCAATCTAATGATTGATAATAATCAACAAGAGGGATTATTGCAAAACCCAAATCTTAAGAGGCAATTCCATTTCTAAACTCAGTCTTTATTTCCATGATAAAGAAAATAAATCCCTGTAACACAGATGAGTTTTGTTCCCTGTGTATGACACAGTGTGCCCCAGGACAAGACAATTCTCAGCAATCTTTTCTTGTCTTTGATCCTGCTGTTACATACTTATCAGACTTTTTTAGCACTTTTCTAAAGGCTATAAAATAAACAATGAATTCTTATTTCTTATTTCACAGACTATATCTTAAAAACTGACTTTTAAATATACTACAAAGTAATTCAGAGTAAGTTTAGAACTAATAGATAGATGTTTTTCAATATGGAAAATATTTTTTAAATTAAAAATTGAAAAAATGTAATATTAAATGATTTCATCATTGATTCACTATGGTATCCAAAAAATTTTTGTTAACATTTAACAGAGTTTATATATCATTTCTACAGCCTGTTTGGATATCATTTATATGAGATATTTTTCCTGCCCATTGTGTAGAAATCCACTGTATTACTTTTTTGTCAGAGCAGAAAGGAAGAATTGGTATAAAAATCCATTAGTTGTCTTGAGGGAAAAAAATAAGTGACTTTCATCATCTTTTATGTCACTAAAAATAAAAGGCAATATTAATTGGCTGAGAATCTGATTCAAGTAGAATGAAAACTTCAAGCTGTTACATCATCAAAATGCTTCAAAGGAAGATTCTGAAATGATTGGGGGGAAAACCCTATTTGCACATGAATACAATATTATGGTTGCAATCTTAAAGCTACTAAATCCTAAGCATTTATTGCAAAGAAGGGACCACTTATGTACTTGCAGAAGAAGCAAAGCACTGGAAACTATTTCTGAATAATATATTACAGATTTATTTGCATAGCAAATATGAAATTCTCCAGGTATAAATCTTTTGATTGAGTATTAAATCTAAAAGCAATACTGTATTATAGAACAGACTCCACAAGTAATAAAAAAAAAATTATCTGAAAAGAAAAAAAAATGGAATACTTCCCACAAGGAGGACACTAGTGAACCTAAATCATTATTACTGATTTTAGAAAACAAGCCTGTGATTCCAAACAATAGAGAGATCAACCCAATCTTAGCCACTCACCAGTCACTGTCTTCTCCTGTGTCACTGGCTTAAGCTACACTCTGCTTCCATAAGCCACAGAGTCTTTACTAGATCTGACAGGCACTCATATTTAAATACAGCCATCCAAGTCACATGGCACAAGGGCATCAACCACTCAGCTCTGGGTTTTTGTTAATTGCATATGAAATCGAAGAGAGCCTCACTTTTGCATTTTCTTCTGTTTTAAATGACCCTCTTTGGATAAAACTTATTAGCAGTTGGTCACTTCTCTTCCTGAATAAATAGTTAATGCAAAGAGCAATGCCTCCCTCATTACTTAGGAGCCAAATGGATGTGTTATTGCTTCAAAATGTTTTTCTAGGACAGCTCATCAAATGCAGCAGAGAGGTACCATTAAATCATAATATACTCTTGGCTCCAAAGGCCAGCACATTCCAGAAATCTCAGTTTCACTGACTTGCTGATGTTACCCAAATAAATATTATGTTGAGCATCTATTTATTCTTTTCTATTTGATTTATCTATAAAGATTCCTCTTTCATTATGATTTTACCGAGACAAGTATTATTCATACAAATAAAAATAAGCTTGCTATTTCATACTTTGATTTTGTTCTTTGTTGAATTCTCAGTAAAGAGACTGATGATGGTCGATTTTATCTATCTTTAATGCCTTTACATTAAAAGTGTTTAAAAGTCATCATGAATGCAACAAAAATGGGAGAATGAAGGATAGAGAATAGCATCTAATATTTCTTGGGGTTTTCGGAATCATACAAATGCCTCAATTCTAAATTACAGAAAAACAATATAACATAGTTACACATGTACCTTATCCACTAATGAAGTTAAATGCATACATTAGCAATTTCTCCTAATAAAAACTTGTTTTAAAATTAACAATAGTGAGAAAGTAAAGATCACTAGCATATTTTTAATCAAAAGTTAAATTTATCAGAGGCTAAAAGAAATGGAAGTTATTTTGATGTTTGAACCTTGTGATTAGTCACGATTAATATTTTACTGATTGTTAAGTCTGTAAGAAAAAAATCCTTCATAAGTCAATGCAAAGATGCCTGGCTTTGTAAGTACAGTGTCCAAAACACCTCTGGCTATCTGAACACAAGCCTCGCTCATCTAGAGAAACTTATGCAATTTCCCAAATTGGCCTTTTCCCTCCTAAGCCATCCCTGAGTAGGACTTTGGTGCTGAGTCCCCTCCTCATGACCTTTGTAGGAAAGAATCTGACATTCACAGTTGCTGACTGACAGACATACTCAACTGAACTCTGGCCATAAACAACTGAACTCCATTACACTACAGCAGTCTCTCATTCAAATTCTTATTAGGAAACAATTTGGGGAAGAGCAAATTCTGAAGATTCCTTGGTCCTTACTCTGAGAATATATCCGAAAATATATCTGAAAAAAATCTGCCTCTTTATTATTATGACATGAGTGGGGTGGAAAGATGAAAAGCTCAGATGAGTTTCTACACCAATATTGGGGGAGGGGAGGCTGATTCCCCAGGGAAAATGGAACCTTTTGGAGGCCAAGTCCAGGAAGTTTCTGAAACCAGAGGATTTGTTACCTTTCTTGAAGGATCTGAAGCTTACCGATGGTAAACTCCCTAGTCCCTGTCCATATCTAAACCCTCCTCTTACCTTCTTTTTCTATCATGCCAACAAATAATTTTTTTCAGGCACCTCTGAACTTACTTCAGTAGTTAATTTTTTTTTCAAACTATGTGTGTGCATGTGCATGCACACACACACCCCTCATTTCCTGGAATAAGCATTATTCAGACAAATAAGGGTCACCAACCATTCAGCTTTGGATCTTTGTTAATTGCACCTGAAATCTGTTCATGCATCCCAGCATTTACTAAGCATCTGCTGAATGCCAGAGCTACAGGAAAACCATACTGGCTTTGCCTTAAGAATCTAAGGGGGCTGGGGATATGGCTCAAGAGGTAGTGCACTCGCCTGGCATGCGTGCGGCCTGGGTTCTATCCTCAGCACCACATACAAACAAAGATGTTGTGTCCGGCGAAAACTAAGAAATAAATATTTAAAAAATTCTCTCTCTCTCTCTCTCTCTCTCTCTCTCTCTCTCTCTCTCTCCCTTTAAAAAAAAAAAAAAAAGAATCTATAAGGGAGACAAGAAGCAGACCAAGAATTTACTTGTCTGGAAAACTGCCATATAAGACTAAGGTACAAAGAAGGGACATCCAACTCAGTTTCCTAATTCTAATGTCCAGGCTCCACATACCATGGACTCAGAACATCTGAGAACTCAGCCACAAATACTGTTGTTTTTTTTTTTTTTAATCTACAGATGATTCCAAAGTGTAGCCAAGTTCAAGACCCAGTGTCAAATGATAATTTATTGCTACTCACAGCAATGTCAGAATTCAAAAAATAAAATGTTTCTAAAGAGAAGTCAATTTGAGAGAATTATTAGTCTAATAACAAAAGCAGAGTGATTCAGTGCCTAACTCTAGAGTCAAACTGACCTAGACCAAATCCCACCCTCATCCTTTGGTACCTACGCGACTGTGGACACATTTCCTAGGCTCTCTGAGCCTCAGTCTCTCCTCTGCTAAGGGGGGACAGAGCAATAATTCACAGCACTGTGAAGAGTGTTAATTTATAAGCCAGGTAAAGCAGTTAGCACAGTATGAAAGCTCGGTCAAAGCTTAGCCAGTATTAGCATCACAATTTTTCTTGGCCGAGACAGAAACTGCACATACATTTACACATTTCTTCTTTCATATATATACTTCTTATATAAAGTTGTGATCCAAGATGAAAGCATAATGAGCTAAAGTAAAAAATGGAGACAATTTGCCAAAAAAACAGTTAGTGACCAGGAAACTGCGAACAGAGGGATAATGATAATGACCTCCTGACTTCCTTCTTAAAAGATATTAGAAGAATATCAACCAACAAATTAGGAAACACAAATGACTCTCCCTAACTGGAAAGTTTCAGAGTCCCTGTACAGCTCTTGAAAGAATTCAGTGTGCCATTTCTTGTAGGCATGGTGCCTAGACTCTTCAAGATAGGGGGCTGTTTGTTTTAACTCAGATTTTTTGGTTGTGCAATGAAGGAAATTCTATAACTTTCTCTGGTTATTTTAAACGCCCAACAAGTTTTTCTATCAGGAGATTCTTATTTCTAACCTAAAGTTCTTTCTAACAAACCAATCACTTCTACCCCACTGCAGGACTCCCTGAGTCTTTAGTAAAAAGTCCTGAACTGCCCTCACTGAAGTAAAAATTCGTATGTAGTAAGAAGCCTTTATGGGAAAGTAGGATAAACAGGAAATATAATTGTGCTCTAGCAATTTGTATTACCTATGTTTATTAAAATTTAGGGTTCTAATTTGACTTTTATTATAAAAAGTATGAGTCTTTTTCATACTAACTTTGCTATTCCTGAAGTTGCCAACCACTCAGTCTTAATCTACCTCTCCCATCTTTCCTTATAAAATCTATAGCCAACTCTTTAATTATGTATGTTGCTTTTTTCTCATTCTTTTTTTTTTTTATGGAGTGAAATAATTCACTTTGACAACTTAAATGTGCCAAGCTGCAATGTAATCATGCATCTTAAGTGACTATTTGGGGAGCAGAGATACTCCCATACTTCAAAGAGTTAGCCGGGAACCTCTCCCACCCAAGAGCACAGATCTGCAACTGCACAAGCGCACCCAAATCAAAACACTCCCAACGAAGCTCCAAACTGGACTTGCAAAACCCAAATCTTGGTTTTGGAGGAGGTGAGGATAATATTGGATGTATTTTGGCAAAGTTACTCAGGGGATTCTGATGCACACTCCTG